GGAAGGGAAGGGAAGGGAAGGGAAGGGAAGGGAAGGGAAGGGAAGGGAAGGGAAGGGAAGGGAGGAAAATGGCAACCTCAGATTCAGATTGCTTCTAGCTAAATAAATACAGTTATTACAGTTCTGTTATTGGTGTTAAAGTAGAACACTTAGTTAACCAAAGTTGTAATGAATTGCCTTGTTAATACAATAATTATATTATATGCTGATTGACACTGAATAATCCAGAGTAAATGGCTGCCACAACTGCATTTACACAAAGAAATACCCAAAACACACTTTCCCAGCCTGACTGAAATAGGCACTGGTCTGACTCTAAACCTCTTAACTTTTAATACTCTCTTTCAGAGATACACTCAGTTGCCCCACCCACACTTCTCCCTACACGTTTTGTGTTAATGTTGTGTGGGAAGGGGAAATTCACAGTCTCTCTACTCTCACATGTTTTATATTTAATGCCACTTAACCTTCTTCACAACCTCAAGTAGGAAATAAAAGATAATTGCATATATGTAGTTTAGATCAGATAAGTTTACCATGCTCACATTATTAATAATTCTCTTCTGCAGAAGTTCATATTGAAAAATCTCAATTATGTTCTAATTTCATCCATCTTTTAAAAACTAATTGAAAGAATGGGGTAGTAATGAAAAGTTCTTAGAAGTGATAGTTGGCTACCATTAAGTCCTGTCTGTTTACAGGGAATGTCTAGTATATGGGAGTCATCTTTCAGTTTTCAAGAGAATTTTGGGAACAACTAAAGACTCCAGTCCACTGTAGCTGTTGTACCAAAGCATTAGTTCCATCAAAACAGAGGAAAGTCATTGATCTTATCTGTTCTTCTTTGTTCTTTCTTATTCATACACTTAATTTCAGGAGACTATTAAGAAGATTAAAGCAGATATTTTCAGATAGAAGAATCAAGCTCATTAGGATAATAATTATTCCCCAGCTACTACCCAATCTTAAATTGCTGCTGGGAGTGTATGACCTTGAGCTGTCAAACAGGCTGTTCTCCAGGAGTCTCATTGATAATATTTCTGGGGGACAGACAAATAAAAAGCACAAAAGTATTTCATGAGAGCATCCCAAACAAAGTACTGAGCCTCATTTTTCCTTATGACTATGCATGAAAGTAGGCTCTTCAGTGATATGTAAAAAAAAGAGAGTTTGTGTCCCACAGCAAGTAAAATATCCTGTACTTATCTTGCAGTGTCTGATTACAAAGTCTGTTCTCTTTCTGTTCCCCCTTTCTTGCTGATTACAACCTCTTCTTAAGACTTGAAATTCTTTATGATTGATACCAAGGTACTGTGTAGTCTTTTGAATAACGTAAATTATCATCAAATGACTTTGTAAGTTTGTCCCTCATTTTCTGCCTCCTAATGGATCTGTATAAGTGAATCAGCATAAAAGTGAAAATTATTGAAATATGACATCATTTCTTTTTTTTTCTTTTCTTTTTTTTTTTTTTTTTTTTTCCTCCTTATAGCATGCTTTCTGAGAATAAACTGTTCTGTACAACAATTTACTTCGGGCATCACAGAAGTAAGCCTCCGTATAAAAGTTGTTTGACAAAGTTAACTTGGGGTGTTTCTACTAGCAGAAGAAATACCGTATTTCTTTATATGGCAGAAAAGCTTGGAACAGCTCAGGATGCCTTGGTTCACTCACAAAGAAGGCATAGATTGATAGTTGTCCTCACTTAAGAACTTTGTGAATGTCATGCTTCGAGTTTTTTGGAAGTCACACTACCATGTAGCAGTGTACCACTGGATAACTGATAGAGCCAGGGAGAAGAAGAGCAAGCATTACATTTTCATGCATGTCTCCTGGTGCTGGGTTGTCTGTTCTAGCTGCTGCTTCAACGGTTGACATGACTCAAACATTGCACACAGTGCTCACATCAGGAGCTCTGGAAGCAAAAATTTTCAGGTGACTGCCTTAACTACTAACATAGGCAGCGCTTTATTTCCTCTTTTAGATCACATGAATTTTAATTTATTTTAAACACAGTGTGTCAACTTTAGTGACAGGTAGAGTATCTCCATTCTCCTCCCCAACATCCACACATCTAATGGTCAAAACTTTCCTAGAGACATCAGAGAGGTAAACTCAAATTCATTCAAACAGAGAAATTATTTTTATTGGATCTCCATCATGCTTGAGATTTTTTCAATAGCTCTGTGACTGCGCACAAAGAGAGGACACCATTAGAGAAAATGGTCTCTGCAGCTTCATTTTCAGTATGGCATGGTAGATAGGTGTTCTCAGGGTTTCTGAAATCAGGAATGAAGTGGACAAGGGAAATATCAAGTTTTCTGATGCACATGTGATCAGCTTCTGTCAAGATGAAATGGACCGGGCGTATGCAGAAGTTGAGTTACAGAAATTTGAAACCCTTTGCAGCAAAATCAGGGTCCTTCACTTGTTCAAGCTTGAATGACATTTGAGCTGTATTTACCAATATCACTGTTTCATTCAGGGCTTTGAAACTCCCACAGTGGGACCAATCCTGGTGCTGCTTACACTATTCCGTTGCTACAAGTCTGCTGAGAAGATATTGGGATAAGAAATGATTAACAGGACCTAGTGCCTTCTTGTTCCATTGACAGACAACTCTAGTGAAGAGAACAGGAAAGGGTGTAAATGGGTTCAAAGGGTACAATTATCACAATTATATGCATCAAAGGACAGAATTATTATTTTGTTCCAGTCTCTTCAATCACTGTTCTAATTCTGCTGTTTAGGAATTTTTTTGCACTGGGGTATTAAACTCAGTATGGGAGAGGGAGAGCTATTGTTGCCTCAGGTATAATAGTTCAGCAAAAATCATACCTGCTTATCCTGCCAGTGAGAAAATAGCTGATAAGAGGCTAGACAGAACCAAGGGATATTTGTATTTAAATAGTAGAAAAAAAAAATAAATGTTTATTATATCTAGGTGGTACTGCCTTTTAGAACATTGAGTTAAGTCAAATAAAGATGGTAAGAGAGAAACAAGGAGGAAATGGTAAGGTAAGAACAGTTTTAAAGATTTCAAAATAGTAAGTGAAGTATCAAAGAGAAAAAGCAATCTATTTAGGCTCCATAAACATGATAAATAGTCTAGACTTCTCCTGCGTATGTCCTGGTAGAGGTTTTGCAAATATGGACGCATAGAAAATGTCTTGAGAGGTGACTGATACAGAAACGTAACAGAGAAGTCAACAAATGGATTGCCATGTAGCTGCTTTGAGAAGAGATTTAGTGAGGAGGTGCATGGGGCAAAGGGACCTCACAGTCATGTAGAGAGACCTCCCTTCTGCTTCTTTTGCTAACACACCTCGTACCGTATAAGAATACCTAAACACCTCTGTTTTTTAAGACTCTGACACTATAGATTTACACTGTAACAGGATCCTGACTGAAAGCTCATGTAAATTCTCACATCATGAGTTGGACCCACATCATAAACGCAGATGGGAACAAAGGAAAGATAGCGTAGAGAGCCAGGCAGGCAGAAGACCAAACAAGTTATTCCAGAATGAAAAACAGATACTACTTTCTGAAGTCTACACTGGAAGGAACCAAAAGACAGGTGGCAGTGGTAGATGCACTGTGTATTGTTTGTTACAGCTATAACACATAAGCAGTATGTATGCAAGGTTAAGTGACATTTGTCCCTTAATTCTACTTTTGCCTTATAACTCTGATTCACCAAGATGAAGGATTTATGATCACTGGGCTATGGCTGCAATAAATTATTCCATTCCTTGTCCATTAAACATTACTCATGAGCTGTATTTTTCCCATGAAGCCTTTGAGCAGTGAACTCCATACAGCTTTTACAAGTCCAGGTTCTGCTGTACCCAACGTATGACAGTATCTCAATACTTTTTATGTGTTTTAGATTCCTGTGATTTAAATTCTGTAAAGATCATATCTAGCAAAACTCCTTAACCTGTACTTAACTTTCAGCACATGAACAGTCCTGTTGGTCTCTGTCTAATGAATTTCCTGCTTGAAATGTCTTGTTTGAAAAACATGTGGGTTCTACCAGTCCACAGCTAGAATTTCAAGTTGCTCCGTGCTTCAGTAAAAGCATGGGGAAAATGGGGAAAGTAATAGAGAAAGGAGCTCTGTCAGAAACAAACAAACCACAAAAAAAAAAAAAAAAAAAAAAAAACCTCTTTAAAAAAAAAAAAAAAGAAAAAGAAAAGCAAAGCATTGTTTTGAGTACTTGGAACAAGATTTTCAAGAAAGGTGAATACTTATTTGATGACAATTATTTTATCAATAGAAACAGTTTAGCAAAGTCATTCATGGTTTCTGAAATTCCCGTCTAAGGTCTCTGGAGAATTTCCTGGAAGGGATCAAGGCTACCAGAGACTGTCCATTTTTTTTGCTGAGTGCTCTCTAAGGCATAAGATGGCAGAGGGTCTCCTGCATTGCTATCCCTGCTGCTCTCAGTCCTTAAGGAGTACAATTTTCTATTTATTTGTTTGCACAACACTGAGTGTTTCCTAATCTGCTTTCACTTATCCTTTCACTTTAGTGAATGCAAGAATAAGGTGTGTTGTCTTAATGTCTAACTAGAAGCAATATCTCTTCCAGTGGTTTGAAAACGAAATGTTTATGAAAGAATTAATACAAGTTGTAGTTTTTACATACATCAAAATTAATTGTGAATTGCCAGCAAAATATGCATATTATACTGTATCAAAGATCTCCACAAAGTTGCCCATGCCCTGCATCCAATAACCCTACAAGCAATAAGAGCCCTAAGAGAAGCAGATGAAGAATGGAAAGAAACTCACCACAGTTATGCCATCATTTAGCAATGATTCTCCAAAAATCATCATGTGAAGCTGCTCATTAACAGAAGCTTCTTCAAAAACTGCCAGAGCTGCCACAGGATCCACAGCTGAGATCATGCTGCCAAAGAGCAGGTTCTGCAGCAGGTTCAGGTCAGTCAGACCAAAGACTTCAATCTGGCAGATGCCATAGAGAGAGAGGCCAATCCCAAATGAGTTCAGCAGAGATCCTAGCACAGACCACCACAAGATGGACCCAAGGTTTTCAAAGAATGGACGAGTTGGCATGAAATAACCCTCTTCCAGCACAATGGGTGGAAGGAGGTACAAAAAATAAATACTTGTGTTCATCACCGGTGGGGATTTGTGGTCAGTACCAAAGATGATCGCTCCAACTAGTGCTCCAATGGCAATCAGGATGCAGCTTTCAGGCATGAGTCTTGGTAATCGGTGATAGAGATGGAAACCTTTAATAAAACATTTAAATTAGCCTGAAGTCAAATGTGTTTCGCCTGCCTTCAAACACTTAGTCTTCATACTGTCAGGTTTTGGTTTTAGGATTACAAAAGTAAATGCGCAAGTAGCACCATTCCCTTCAAAATGAAACAATCCTGGGTTTGGACTGACCAGGAACCTGGATAAGCCCAAGGGAGCAGGGAGCAAGCAGCTCAGATGCTAAGGTCTGCTCATCTCCTTCCACTTCCAGAAACACCTTGAATAATTTCTCAGACTCCATATGACCCACAGGCTGAGCAAGTGAATACTCATGAACACCACAAAATACAAAGCAGCTCGGTTATCACCAGGAATCAAGGCATGGCCACATAATGCTTTGTACAAGCTGACTAACCTTGCTTTTCTGGGAGTTCGAGTTTCTACATAAGATAAACAGCACTCTGTAAAGAACTTTATGAGCTAGTTTAGTGGAAAAAAAAAAAAAACACAACAAAACCAACAACAGTGGTTTCAGCTGAGTTGAAAGAACTACTGACATCAAATAATAGAAAACAATGGATCCTGGGAAGGTTTTTCCTTGCTAAAAATAAGGGTTCAGACTACACTACCAAATGAAGCAATCCAAAGAGTTTTCCTGTCAGAAAGGCTCAGCTTACATCCAGACAGCCAGATGCTCTCCTTTGCCCCAGAAAACAGACAGACATATCTGATCTGCCTGCAAGAACAGATCCTGACCCATAGGTTGCCTGGATGATGCCAGGGAGAAGGCTGTTGGACATGGGCAGAAATTCAGAAAGAGCTCATCTACACTCATGCAGTATGGACAGTTGGATACAGCTTGCTGCCACAGTGTGCCTTCACTTTAAAATGCAGATGCAGCCAGGACATTTTAGAGAGAAAGGGCTACATTTAACTTATAAATGTTATGGGTATGAATCTCTTCCAACCTACTTTGATGCCCTGCTACTGTGGGTTTATGTAATTCTTCACATTTGACATGAATATTGGTACCAACACTGAGATAGCATCTAATAATGGCTTACCCAGTTGCTGTATCAGGGATTGTATAATTACTCATATTGTGAATAAGAGATGCCTTATCTCAAAATGTAAGGAGTTGTTCAGAGTTTACAAGAATGAGAATGAGACAAAGACAGTCATAAATGGTCATCTAGCTCTAGGTGTCCCTGTTGAATGATGGTTGGATCAGATGGCCTCCAGAGCTACCTTCCAACCTCAGCCATTCTATGCTTCTGTGTGCAATCCAATGGGTGTGTTTTCATACCTAAAGCAAGATGAAATTTCATCTCATAACTTTAGCAGCCAATGACAAGTTTGCATTTTTGTGATGCGTGAATGTTCAAAAGTCAAAGAAACAAAAACATATTTTCTGAAATTTAGTATTATTTATTTGGGAAATGTACTTATTTTTACCAAAAAGTATGCTATGATCATAACACTACTATCTCAATTATTTTGATTAAAAATAAATTTAATTAATTTTAATTTCATTTTTAAATCAAGTTCAAGACTTCTATCAGTTTTATCAAATAAAGGGATTCTTCTTCCTTCCAATATCTAGAAATGTTTCTTACTTTGAAATTGTGAAATCCAAAAAGAAGATCAGAATTGAAGGTAAACAAATGTAACAGTTTGGAATTCTTCTTCCTTGGATGGCCAAATTATTCAAACTAATTATTTCTTCCAAGTAGAACTGAAGTCAATAGCTCTGCTCTTTTCAACTTACATATTTTTGTTGGAAAATTCCCAGCAGATAAATATGTTTATCTGGGAGGCATCACACAATTCTTCTGAAGTGTGTTATTTCTTGCTCAAAAACACAATACAGAGTAGGTGTGCCTTATGGCATTTCTGGTGCTTTTATGGAGAATAAATAAAGAAATTAATCAACACACTCACTGCTAACACACTCTGCTGATGTGATAACAACAAATTTGATTGGTGAAAAAAATTATTACTGTTTTAGCAGTGAAGGCATCTGTTTATAGGAGTTGCATTGAGATCATTAGCTACTATGAAACTAGAAAATCAGTCAGTGGCAATGATATTTAACAGCTGAGCAACTACGGTATGAAAAATGTACATTTTCAGGCCACCTCTAGGAAATTATCAATCCTCTTACCTGCCCATTCTATAGGAGTGCCTGAAAATCCCACTGAACTTCAAAAGAGCAGGGAAATTACTAATGTCTAGCTCTTCACTGTTGCAATCATATTTATTTATTTCATATTGCTACATTAGTTCCAAAAAGCCAAAATCAACTTAAGTCCAGTCATATAGATGCATAAGACACAGGGTGAGCATTTTTTTCTGTATTAATTACAATCCCTATTTCTCCAAGAGTTGTTTCTCTTCTTTCAGGTATGTACACTGAGCCCCGGGAGAAGCTAGGTGGAGTATATTCTATAGGCATTTATGCTGCTTTTCCTATGACCAATATCCATTCAGGCTTCATCTTCCTCCTCTGATTTTACTTTCCGAGCAACTTTAAACAACAAACATTTAAAACAGAGGTTTATAGGAAATTGCTTCCTATTATTCACATGACAGAAGGGTTCTTTCTTCCTTCCCAAAGTAAGTACAGCTGAAGTTTCAGTCAGCTGTTTTCCTGATTTCTACAGCTGTGTCAGATTGTATAGTCTTGTGATATTTAATATTCATCACAAGATATTTAAATATTAGAACTAAGGATGGACAGCACTGTGAAGAGGACATCCATTGCTACTCATTAGCATAGACAGCCCAAAGGAAATGTGAGTTAGAAGTCATATACTTATTTCAATAATTTGGAAGCATTAAGAGGTGAAAGTTTGTCGTTGTCATAATAATGACTTGTTCTTTCCAGGATAGGACAGAAAAAACAGTCCCTGGCACAAAAGCATATGCAAGATACTTGGTTACATAGTATGTTTTTAAATTCTTACCAGCAAAGGAGGGTCCAAAATACCATTTCCACTTACCTATTTTTGCAAGAGAGGCAAGGAGTATCCAAAGAGTGACTTCATATGGAATCTGCACATTGTTGTAGTCCACTGTGAAAACCTGCAGCCTCTTATTTTGTGAAGAGCCAACAGCATCATGTTCATAGTGAGGCAACAAACTACTACCCAGGCTAGGCTCATCCAAATAAGCAGCAGCAGAAGGGCATGCCAGAGTCAACAGTGACAGCAAGTAACTCAGCATCTTCATATGTTCAAAGGCAGGAGAGCCCATGTCGAGGGCTGTGGCTATCTGTTATTACAGATAGAGCATACAGTGTGTGCAAGAAAGTACACAACACTCACACCTGTTGATTCCCACTGCTCCTAGCCACAGTCATTTCTTCCTCACTACTCCTTCAGTTGCCTATTAGAGGCCATTGTAAAAGCCCTAACGTACCTGCACTGCTCCTTGTGTTACAGATGAACCTGAAGTTGATATGAAGATACCAGTTCTGCAGGTTTTTCAGACCCAGATAAACCCCAGACACAGCATCACTCTGCTGAAGAGTAACGAGCTTTCCGGACACATTATTTTTCCAGACACTCTGATATTCCTCCCACTAATAACTATAAAAATCACCAATGTGCAGTAAGGGCAGCATAAGTAAATAGTATCAGATGGGCAGGACAGGCTCCATGCCTTCTTCTCCTTCCTTCAGTCCCTGTCTGCCTCCCTAGAGCAGCTGCACTGCAGGTACCATTCTTGGCACTGCTCCCTGCTTCTGTCTCACCTTGTAACAAAACCACTCGGTGTGCAAATAAACGTGATCAGCAGGGTTTGCAGCTGGGACATCTGGTGGATGGCCACGCAAATTACATTCTCCTTCAGAAACTTGTTATCTCTTTTAAAGGCATGTATTTCACTTGGCACATAGTAACAAACGTTATTTAAAAAAAAAAAAAAAAAAAAAAAAAAAAGATTATCTCAGATCTCAGCTGATCTGATTTGACCACTTGGAGTCCAAAAGAAGACAACAGAACAAGATTTTCTTCTGAACAGGAACCATTGCATTTCGCTTAAGTATAGCCATACACAGACTGCAAGTTGCATTGAGGGTAAGTGGTATGAACCTTGGGAGAGGACTGCAAGAAAAAAACAGATGTTTCACAGCCCTCGGAAGCCCACTAGCTGTAAGAATCACGGGATTTACATCCATGATGTTCAACAGTTTTGGTAGGACCAATGAGTGACCCTTGCCACATGGGATCAGCAGTGTGCAGATGTTTCTGAGTGTGGTAGAAATGCCTTATCCCACTTCATGAAGGATGGTGGTTCCTGGGATCAGCCCTGACACAGCATTCCTCCTTGTCTCAACCCCTTCAGCATACCTAGATGTGGGAGCCTCCTAGAGCTTTCATCCTTGGTATTCTCCAAGGAAGAGGTAACTCATATATAGAGCCTGGATTTGTCTTGCAGAACTGCACAGAAAATAAAACAAGAATTCTCAGGAGTTCTTTTTTTAATCTTTTTTTTAGGGGGGAAAAAAAAAAAAAAGTATAAAAATGCTTCAACAGAAAAACAATGCAAAGAGAAGAACATTCACATGTCTCAACATCACTGCAAAACAACATAATAAATATCCTAATAATAATTTACTAAAGATAGCTTACATATACACGTGTGTGAAGTACCACATGGTTTTGCTGTGTGCATGTTTACACTGCAGCTCTTCTCAAGAGTTCTAGATTGAGCTATTGCTGGCTCAAGTGACAGTCCAGAGTAGTCTGCTGATGTAAAAAAAAAAAAAGGTGTTTAAATCCATTAACTCCTGAGATAGCAGTCATTCCTCTGTGAAATTTATGCTATCGATGTACTAGGCTGAATAACCTTTGGAAAAAGTCCTTTAGGCTGCAATTTCCCAACACCTTAGTGGTATTGACGGGCATGTGGTAGTGCATGTATTTCCAGAACTTCTTGTTTGGAGCAGTAGAAATAGAAGGCTTCCAGGTAATGACTGGTAAAATCCGAAGAGCCTTCTTAACTACTGGAGGCAAGGTCTCTGGCTCTTGGAAAGCCTGGAACTTTATTAAAACCAATTTGATCTTTTTGTCTTCCAGTGCACAGTTCACTGCTGCTTGCAGTTCAAAGATGTTTGGTCCGCTGACATAGGCTGGGCTCAGAATAATGATTGTTCTTCTACTTTGTTTAATAGCTGTAACAACTTCATCTGTGTATGCTGGAGAAGAAATTACAATTGTTATTGCAAAGTGTATTGGACTTTTTATCCAAATTAGTCCATTTAAGAATGGATAATCACCAGAAATACAGAAAGCCAGAAATAGAAGTGCTGAGCAACCACATCAACCTTAAAACCATTCACAATCAGGGGGTATCTCTGCCATTCTTATGCAGCCTTGAGAACATAACTGGATGCTCAAAAGGTGGAGGGCACAGCTGAGATCACAACCACAAAACATTCAAGTAAATTCTCAAAGGACACTTGGAATTGTCTCTGTCTCTCCCAGGGAGAGGTACTGAGGATTTCCAATTACTGCTGGTGGCACTGACCAAGGTGTGAGTCAGAAAGTAACTAATGAAAAATTCAAGGTCCTCTTTTCACAGAATGGAGCCTGCCTGTGAAGAAATTCTTGGATGAGAAGCTTTGTCTCAGCCAAGTACCTTATAGAATGGAATGGAATGGAATGGAATGGAATGGAATGGAATGGAATGGAATAGAAAGGATCATAATGATCGTCTATTTTCAAACCCCCTGCTGTGTGCAGGGTCACCAACCACTAGATCAGGCTGCCCTGAGCCTCCTCAACAACCACACTCAAATATAAGTTCCTTAGTCGCAGAGACCAGGTAAAAAGACCAAACATGGCAAGATATGAGCAGAAACTCCAGTGCCAAAACATATCATTTGTTGAACTAGTGCATAAGGTTTTTAGGAAAGAAGAAAATAATTTTATAAGGAACTGAAGACTTTCTACCAACCACAGGAACCTTACCTCCTCCTGGAAGAATATCTCTTTCAAGAATGCATAACTTGTATCCGTATTTGTTTTCAAGCATGTCTGGAAGGATCTCCAGGGCAAATTTTTCCTCGCTAATAAAAGCAGAGTCACTTTCAGAATAGTTTGTTTTTGCATAGGACACAAAGGCATCAAATTCTTTGCCATCTAAAAGAAATAAATATATACATAAGTAACACAGCATACATTAACAGGTGTCTGAAGTATTCAGCTTCTTACTTAATGCAACGTTTCCATTTATGTTCTATACATTTGCTACCTATTTAAGCAGACCCAACACAAATTGAAACTTACAAAGCAATCATGAAGAACAGCAGTTCAGTTACGCAAAGCCAAGCCTGTCTCTCCATTTTCTTCTCTGTAGACGTCTGCTACCAAAGTAAATGAGGATATTGCAGATGACCAATGCAAGAAAGTTTAAATTAGGCACCTTTTTTTTTTTTGTATTTTTACATATATGTGCCAATTTTAACCAATGGGAGATCTGGCACCTCCCGGGAAAATTCCATGCTCTAGGAAATGATTCCCAACCTTTTCTGTCATTCACCCAAATGCTGAGTCCAAAGATAGTCACAAATGCACAACCTGCTTTATAAATATAGTGAATTTTACTTTAAAAAGCTGGGAGGAAGCATGCTCATGGACATTAGCTGTTGCGAAAGATACTGTTTTCATACACTGCTATTTCTAATCAGAGAGAAGGGTGGAAGTGGCAAAGATTAAATCTGATTCAAATATGAGCTCAGAAACAGAGTACTATCCAGCACCTGAACTTTGTTCCAGTCTCATTAAAAGACTGTTTGCAAAGTGCAGCTGCTGAATACATAAAGAACTCTCAGCTCTGAAATACTTTGGTACCTGTGTCCCAAATTTCACCCATTCGTATCTACAAAACAAAAGAAACCTATTTGCTAAATGAAATTTGAACTGCACTTGAGGGAAGATGAAAGAGAACATAAGAAATTGCTCATGATGCAAAAGGCACACTGATCTCAGTACAATATGAATATGAATGCTTCTAATGCCATTTGAGATGCCCTAAGGTTGGTTGATGACCTTGCCAAATTTTACATAGGCACTACTGGAGACCCAAATATTTTGGTATTGTAGGATATGCTCGGGCAAGTCAAATGACAGCAGATATCTTTTTATTTAATCAGCTGATTCATATTACATGTCAGTATAGTCAAGAGAAACCATAAAGTAATTCAGCTGTTCAGCATAATGTGTTTCTGCAGAATGAGCTGAAAAGCTCTCTAGATTTCACCATATTGATCACATTCCACAGAATGGGAACTGAGACATCTAACCCCTGCACAGCCACATTGGTAATAGCACTGAATCTTAACCCTCCATGCTAACATTCTGATTTCTACCCCTAGATGTTAGATTAGGATCATAAGGATCAGAAGAAATCATGGAACCCTGGGAGCAAAGGAAACGCATGTGGAAAATTAATGACCTGCATGAGTTGGGCTTGAAAGACTACATTCATAACTAGCAGATAGCAGAAAGTATATTATCAAAAGAAAACATGGGTGTGAAAATTCGGCTTAGAGGTTGAGACTATCCCCAGTGCTCCTGGCCATACACTTCTGCCTTTCCTTGTAAGAGTAGAAATAGCTCTCTAGTTACCTATTACCTTCTGCTGGTCTATTTTACTGCTAAGTTGAGCCACTGTAGGCCCAAAAGAGTGAATCAGCAACAGCAAACACACATGGCTTGGAGGTGGGGCAGTGGGTCACTAGACTGGTTTAGCTGAAAAGTCCAGCTACACCCTGATTTAAAAATCCTTTGAACACCACTTTTAAATGACAATAAATCCTTTGCAAAACAAGCCAGATATTCCTCATTTCCCCCATAGAGGTCACTGCAATCTTATTAGACAAATACATCATGGTTTGGGGTTTTTTTGCTTGTTTGTTTTTTCTTTTTAGCATCACTACTGCAAAAACAATTTAAAAATGCATACATAGTAAACTCAATTGGGATTTTTTTTTCCAGAACAGTACAGGAGAACAGTTACAACCTGAGAAACTTTTGGAACATATGTTTCAGATGCTAAATATGTTGGAAATGATGTTAGTTAAGCAAAGTTACTGTCAAATTTGTCTATAAATGTTAATTCCCCAGCTTCTTCACTGCCTCTTTCTCCCTGTGGGAGAGACAAGATTTTTAAGAAGTATATCTTAATTAGCTATGGAGGAAGCTCAAGGATTAGAAAGGTGTGAGATAAAGGATGAGCTCACTGCTGTTTTTAGCTAACTAATGAAAGGGTACAGAGATGATGGAGAGAGATTTCTCTGAGGCGCAGAGTGATAGCAGAGAAGGCTACAGACACAAGCAGCAATAATTAAAATCCTCATTAGAAATTAGTAAAAAACTTTTCACTGCAAAAATGGTCAAGCACTGGAGCAGGTTGTTCTGAGACATTGTGAATGGTCTATCTTTGGTGGTATGCAAAACTTGGATGAACAAGGTCCAGAGCCATCCAGCCTAGGCTGGCTCTGCTTTCAGCAGTATCTTGAATCAAATGACTTCCAGAGTCCTTACCAGTAATTTTCTAATGCTGTGCTAAGAGGAGTGGGAGAGAAGGAATGAATGATGGAAAGGAAGAAACGGCAAAATGGCATCAAATTTTTGCTTTTTTGCTTTATGAGCAAACCGTTTCAAATCTCAAGTAAATTGATATGCATCCACATGAAGTGAGAAGGACATAACCCTACAGCTGGGAACAGCTTGGTGGTGAGTCATCTTTAGGCATAAAACCTGCTGGATAGGCATAGCTAGTCTGCACACTTCATGCCCCCCATGCCATAAATGGGGCTGTGCGCATGCAGCACATTGGAGTTAAGGAGTAGGACAGAAGTGCAAGAGATACAAAGGGGTCTTAAACTTCAAATCTTGCCAGGTCTGTCTCTGTCCTGCTGACAAATGTAAGGTTGAAGGGGATTTTCCAGAGGTTCTTAAATCAATCTGCTACCAAGCAGAGGGGAAATTTTAAGTGATTTCCCAAATAACTTTTGATAGATGTCCTAGAGCTTACAACGATACTTTCCGAAAAGGCAGTCAATTGTTTCACTGTGTATGTATTTATAGATACAGAGATAAATGTATATTCACACCTAATTGAAATACACCTATGGAAACACGAAAGTAAACTCATATATTATATGTCTCAAAACGCATCAAGACTCAAGGATTTTTAGAAAAATTTCCTTGGGTAATTTCTATCAGATTTATTTAAATCCACTTAAGGAAATTAAATGCTAAATTCATTGAAGTAGGCACTGTGATTTATGATACATTTTTTACTGCTTAATATTTCGGAGGCCCAATTTAGCTGAGATGATGTGGCAATGCTGTTACAGAGACTTGAAATTTGAAAAAGTTGATTGCTGATGTAAAATCATGATAGTCAACATGACTTTCAGAAAGCAAAAACTGCCCCAAAGTGCACGAAGTTTGTGTTCCTCCTTATCTTATTTCACATAACCACAGGATGGCTGATGCTGGCAGGGTCTTCTGTGTCCCTCTGGCCCAACCCAGCAGGGCTAACCGGAACAGGGTGCCCATGGCCAGGCAGCTGTTGGCTCCATCTCCAAGGAGCAGACCCCACAGACTCTGGGCAGCCTGTGCCAGTGCTCTGTTACCTGCACAGCACAGAAATGCTGCCCTATGTTCAGAGGGAATCTCCTGTGCTTCAGTTTGTGCCCATGGCCTCTTGTCCTGGCACTGGTCACCACTGAAAAGAGCCTAGTTTCAACTTTTGTGCGCCCTACTCTCAAGTATTTGTATACATTGACTAGATCCCCCTGAGTTGCCTCTTCTCATACTGAACAGGTCCGTATCTCTCAGTCCCTCCTCAGGGGATAACCTTCTCCTTTAATCATCTTTGTGACCCTTTGTTGGACTCTCTCCGGCACAACCATGTCCCTCATACTGGGAGGACCAGAACTGGACACAGTGCTCCAGGTGAGGCATCACCAAAGCTGACTGAAACAGAAAGATCACCTCTTAACCAGCTGGCAATACTTTGCTGAATGCAGCAAAGAATACTAAGCATTCTTAGCAGCTAGGGCACTCATGTAGTTGACTCATGTTCAACCTGGTGTCCATCAGGTCCCTCATGTCCTTTTCAGCAGAGCTGCAGAACAGGGTTATTAAGAAAATTGAATTAAGCGATTAGCCCACACCAGATTAACTCACAGAACAAAAGACAATAGGAAAAAAGTGAAGAATAGTAATTTCATACCATATTTCTTACCTTCTGTAGTTTCGTTGCGGACCACATAGCTTCGGTACATCAGCACTATTTCAATCCAGTGCTGGTAAATAAAGGCAGTGCACAAAAGCAATGCAAAGAGAATAGAAATGGCACTGCACAGTATGTACAAGAAAAACACTGTAGAAAGAAAAAGTTTTATCATAAGTCAGACTTTCCAACTTAGATAAAAAGCTCAGTTTACAAAAGGAGACAAACTAGCTCACAGTCTTCATTCCTTCCCTCTTAGCAAACTTTAGAGAAGAAAGGAATTGATTTACCTGCAAATTTCAGCACAGTGTTTCAGTCTACTACGAGGGATAGTGCTTGAACTGTATTTCCCTGTTAGTATGAAAAGCCAGTTTGAGATGAAAGGTATAGAGAAAATGGTCTATTGTACACTCAGTGGGGCTAAAAATAAAAACTACTTAAAATGGAAAATATACAGATAGCTGCACACAGAACCTTGCTGGAGACTTCCTGTGCCACCCTAGTGATGAATGTCCACTGTGAGCTATGGTTCAAATGAGAGAATGGTTTAATTTCCACACTGATTCTTTTTTTGGCCTTTGCTTGAAAGGCTGCCATATTCGTATCAGGTACAGCATAAACATGCATGCTAAGGACTGGGAAAACAGAAACATCCTATGAAAATCTTTAAGGGCTAGCAGTTCTCCATCTGTTCTTACCTCTCTGTTTTTTTTTCAGTTGGATCACAGCGGTAGCATTCCCCACAGAATTTTGAGCAAAGCAGATGAAGTTACTTCTTAGGTCCTTCTCAGTAACTTCTTCCAGTTTAGCAACATGACGAAGTACATGTCCCTTTAAACATCTTGGACAAACACTAAAGAGAAAAAGCATATATTTGCATGACACCTTTGCAGCTCATTCATACAATCCCCAAACGTCTTAGATACAGAGAAAGAAGATTTTGGCAAATTCTGAACATTAAGTTAAAGTTTTAACAGAGATGCAAAACTCTGGTTTGGAGCCTCCATTTGTGTTTTATTTGCATCATAATGACATCAAAGGTTTTCAGACTGAAAAGTTTATTCTTATTTCTTACTTAGCTTTAAATATGTAGGTCTTTCTGACTTCCATAAGATTATTTGAATTTTCCTAAGACTTTGAATACTACCCCACCAGGAGAAATGTAGGGAAATTAAGCTTCAAAAAGGAGTCCTGAGAGACAACAAGCTGAGCAAAAAGATGGAAAAGCACCATCTCTTTCCAAGGGATAAAAGTCCCAAGGACAGGACAGACAAATAGAATAAAACAAAAATGAGGAATTGAAGAACAGAAAATGAAATGGTAACAAAAAAGTGCCTTTGGGGCACTCTTAAGAATACCCGGTGCTTCTGAGTCTCGGTGTTTCTCTTTGGAAGCCATAGTACATGAGTCTCTGGGTCATCTCAAGTATGCCTCATGTCATGCCACTGCTGGCCAGTGTGCCAATATGACAATGAACTAACTCCACTAACCCAAGTATAATGAGCATGAATATGGGCAGTTAATTTTAGGATTCAACATGTCCTAAAGATCTGTTGAGAATGGTTTATAGCAGAGTGGTTGGTACTAGATGGTCTTAAAGGTCTTTTCCAACCCAAACCATTCTATGATTTTATGATTCCATGATTCAGAACTGAGCAGTAAAAGATATTCTTGTATTGCATAGATTCCTTGCCCAACTTGGACAATGTATAACTGAATGAGACAGGAAAATACAGGAAGGAAAGGGAGGCATGAAGACAATTCAAGTCATCTCAATTGACAGCATGCTCAACATGAGTCAGCAGCCTTACTGGTAGCCAAGAGGGTAAACTGTATTTTGGCATACATTAGGTACCGTATAGCCAGTCAGTCATAAGAAGTGATTCTCCTGTTACATGTTAGGATTGGTGCAGCCTCATCTTGTGTATTGTATGCCATTATTGTTAACATCCTTGAAAGTGCCCAGAGGAGGACATCAAAGCTGGTAGCAGAGCTGAAGGCATGTCCTGTGAGAAGAGGCTGAGGGCACCAGGCTGTGCAGTTCAGAGAGAAGGAGGCCAAGAGTTGACCTTATTGCTCCCTGCAGCATCCTGAGGAGGGGAAGCAGAGGGAGATGCGGGACTCTGCTCCTGACAACTGATGGCAGAAGGGAAATGGCACAGAGCTGCACGAGGGAGGTATCAGGCTGGGCATTAGGAACAATTTATTTATTGTGTGAGAGCTCAAGCACTGGAACAGGCTTCCTAGAGAGGTAGTTCATACCTCATGACTGCTAGTGTTCAAGAGGCATTTGGATAATACCCTCAATAACATCCTTTCATTTTTGGTTAATCCTGATGTGGTCAGGCAGTTGGACTCATTGGTCTTTGAAAGTCCCTTCTAATTAACCATTCTGTTCTGTTCTATTCTATTCCATTCTTTAAGGTCACAGGAAACCTTTCCCCTGTATGTCACTCCTCTGTGGAGTCTGGTTAATTCTTGCCAGGGAAGACTTGAAGACTCCTAAAATTCAATTCTGCATGCTCTCAGGCTGACCTAATGCACGTAACTCAATTTAAAAGCCCAACTTTTGAGACACACAAACTCATTTCTGTGTCACAGAGAACTGGCCTATAGTACTGTTTCACTGGATCCAGTTTATTCCCCACTTAGAAACAGCTTTCAGAGAGATGGAGTGAATTGTTAACAGGGCACAACTGAGGGAGCACACGGCTGTTGCAGGCACAAGGGGCCAAGCACCATTCATGCTGAAATTCCCTGTGAGATAAAGCTTTGGGAAAAAAGAGTTAAGACTACACAGAAAATATTAAATTCTTGAATTTATGGCCATATCATGTTTTGAACATGTGCTTCTGTATGTAATGTGCTCATGGACAGACACAATAATATGTTGAAGGACAGATAGTTCTGAGCTCCCTTCAGTAAATTTACATATTGAGTAAAGCTCTTGTGGAAGGATTTTTACAGTTGCTAACAGCATAGTAACACTAGTATTATATTGCTTTCTTACCTTGTTTCCTGGTTCAATTTCTCATTTATATTTTCACTGTCTCTTTTCCATATTACTCTCTTCTGAGTACCCCTTTCAAACCCAAACTGTACACGGCATTCCAGTTCAAGGGGCTTTCCTGAAACAAATTAATACAGAAAAGGCATACATGCAGGTCACTGGAATATTTTTCTCTTTAATAGACTGGGATACATATAATATATATGTATGCCATATATAATATAAAGTTTATTTTAATATTCACAAATACATAAATTAAGAAAAAAAATTATAGAAAATTCCCATACTCCAAGAGAGCAAAGCTATTTTGTTTTATCAAGGTCTATCATCATCTACAATCAGCTCATTTGAACATTTTCTTTCACTATCAGAGAAAGAATAAACTTACCAAGTTCTGCTTCAAGAATCGCCACACCACTGGGATGCAAGATGTTTGGTGGATGGATAGTGTTTTTTGCTGCAATTAACAGGACTGCTATTAATAAGTGTTATTGTCAATGCCAAAGACCAGAGAAAACATTTCAAAGGTTTATCTTTCTCTGATGTTAGGTGGAATTTTGACATCACAGTCCAAGAGGATGATTTATGGTTGTTAAGCTGTCTGAGAGTTCACAGTATGAAAGCTTTCTCTACAAAACTTACGTAGCTACTTAAACTGCTATGTCAGTAGTTGAACTGGGGAGCTCAGCATCAGAACTGCACCTGAGGTAATTTAGGATTCAGAAACAAGGATCCCCTTTGCAAAATTTCCTGCAGTAACCAATCCCTACATGAGTTCCCTGCCAAGCTCCATTCCACACCCACTAAGCGTGCAGACAGCACACAAACTCCTTATTCATAATAAATGTGAATACACATTTAAATACACAGCACAAGTATTTGCATTAAAATACCACATTATTAGATTTTTTTTCTAAGCAAGAGTTGACAAAGAGATAACGAAAGATAACGACACCCAGTTTGTGCAATCTGAGAGGCTGTGAGAACGTGGCATGAAGAGCCTTAAAATGCACAGCTCTGATATTCTTGGGAAATCCCATACTACAGGAAATGTTGAAATGTTGCCACACAAACTTTTTTTTTTTTTTTTTTTTAAACTTTGAACTACACTGAAGCAGAGAAAGCTGCAACCCATCTACTTCTGAATACAAAATAGATGCAGCTGTGCCACATTGCTGGCGTTCCGGCCTAAAAGACAAGGCCTGAAAGAACAGGTCGTACAGGCATTGATGCTGTCCCCAGCTAGCACACAAAAACAAAGAGCCTTGCTGTCTTTGTTGTTAGATTACTCTCAGATCCCATATTTCCTCTGACACAAAATGTCACATCGCCATTTTTAAGTGACGAAATGAAGATCTCATGCATTGCAGAACAAAATACCGTATCACCAACTGTAGAAGGGAATTCTCTAACTCGTACTTTAACTCAAGCCATCACTTCAGGGATGTGTAGGATTGAGATACAGCTTTATATTCCACATCTTCCAAGAAAGATTAGCATTCTTCCCTCTTGGTATTCAAATGTCTTACTAACACTGCACATACAGTGCATGGAGAACATTGGCACCAGCAGTGGTTTCATGAATTCTACTCTCAGATTAACTGATTTAAATCCTTGTGTAGATTTGATTATCGCTGTTAGGAATCAAGGCAGAATAAGATCTTGACATCTATGGTATTACTAATTTTATTACTAAACACCGAAGGTCCTAGACACTGTCCAGAAATGTCCTCAGAATACTTGGAAGTGAATTTTAATGAAAGTGTAGCTAGTCTAGTTTATAATTTTTCAGAACAAGATCCTGAACAAAATATATTAATAGAGTACTAAAGAATAGGGAAAACATATTTTTGAAGTATTTTATAATAGTTAAAATATTACTCACCAATGACTTCTACTGTAACTGCTGTTCTCATTGTCCATTGAGTAGTGTTGTCAAATATGGTGTAATCACATACATATATTCCAGAGTCTTGAACATAAGTTGTTTTCAAGTAGATTTCATTATCTACAAACTTTAGGCTTTTCCTGGTCTTCCTGTATTCTATCTGATGGCCATCCTAACAAAAATAAAATAATATCAAAGAATTAAATGTCTTCTTCTTGTTGTTGTCACTGTTGCTGTTAAATTATATTATATTTGGATGGAATTGCCATGACAGTAGGGTTAAGCCAAACTCTTTTCACTGAAAACAAACACTTTTTGATATTTACATTTTTAAAAATTGTGGGCTACATAATATGTGAATATCAGTACCTGTAAAAAAAAACCAACAACAAGACTTTAACATTTGTGGCTGCTGAGAGATATGTAAAATAATGAAACTAAGTGTAAATTAAATTCACATTACTAAAGGTCAAAGAAAAGGATCGCTGTTTTGTACGTTTACAGACTAGGTATTTTTATTTTTGTAAGTAAATGATTTTGAAACCAGCTCTGTTGCAGTAGGCGTTTGCAGGGTATCGGGCTGTGATGCGACAGGACCTCCCCTGCTCTGTGATAAGAGACTGACGCGCGCTTGGACATGAATAGACGCACGTGGACGTAGTAACATAGATAAGCATGTAAAGTATATAAGTTGCTGTTTCACTTGCAATAAATGCCATCCTGCCTAACATCACATTGGTGTGTACGTGGTGAGATGGTCGGGTCACAGTGGGGATGGCGTGAACCCTGGCTGGGCCATAGGAACGTGAGGAACTAGGGGTTTCCTACGCGGAAACACAGCTCCACAACCTTTTATAGGAAAAAATATGGTTTGGGATTGTATGAGATTGATAGCATTGTCACTATTTCCAAAAGGATGAATGATGCTTTTTGAAAAGTACCCCTAGTTTTCACAGTTTTGTTTAGGTAAAATCTCTAGGGGTACAGGGAATTTTCCTTAAGACAAATGCAAAATGAGGTAAAGACATACCTCATATAAAGCTTGGAAGTAAATGAAGAGTAACTTTGACTGGATGACCATTTTGTTTGATGAATAAATACTGTAAATAGTACCAGGTAGTAAAATGAACGTTTGAATTTTCAGTCATTTTTGATTGCTTATATAGTACAAGCTTACATGGAACTATTAGTGAATTTAGTATATAACTACTAGTGACTACAGTATTATCTCACTTTAGTGAGAACTATTGGTGATAGGTGGATGGCTGGACTGGATGATCTTGCAGGTCTTTTCCAACCTTGGTGATACTATGACTCTATAATTCTATAGCATATTACAATTATTACAGACAAAGTAGGGATACATTTTAGCTTGAAGGTAATTTAGCAGTCGTTTGAAAAAGACTAAGTCAATAATTTCTCTGTGGGATGGTGTTTCATTAGAAACAGGTGTCTTGGAAAGAACAATTAAAATAAATTTGTTTCTAACGAAGCCAACTTTTTTCTTTCATACATTTGATATTTTCAGAATTTAAAATCAAAACAAAACTTTAAAATTTTAAATTTTAGCAGTGTCAATTTTGTAAATAACTAATTTTGATTCTCAATTACTACAATTAGTTGAAAAGAAACTATGCCAAATTCCGTACCTCCACTGCGCTTCTGAATACTCAAAAGAGTGACTCTTACCTTGTACCATCTTACATCGACTTTGTCTATATGTCTGTAGCATTTTGTCCCAGGACAAGCTATCGAATTCCCATTGCCAGCAAGAAGATACAGTGGGTTTGTACCATAGCCTGCACATTTTGCCTCTGCCTTTGTTTGAACCTCCAGAACAATTTTGAGACACGGGATTTTTTCACTGAGTGATAGAGAAAAAAAGTTAAACTTTTAACATAAAAGTAGAATAAATACATCAATTCTTACCTAGAAATATAAGCCCTTTTCCCCATTACATACTGTATCATACAGATGTAGATTCCAGAAGCATTCTCTCTTACTGGTTTAAACCAAAGTGCATCCCCTTGCAGAGTAATGTTAGAGCTTTCCTTGACAGCTTTAAGATGTCCTTTGTCTTTCTGACACCAGAACCATTTCACCTCATGTTGCTTTAGAGCTGAGTTGTCATAAATGTTGGTAGCATCTTTATGTGGCAAAGCGCATTGTAAAACAAACTCTTCATCGCTAATTGCACGATACCGTACTTGAGGCTTTACATGGGAACACCCTGAAAAGTAGGAAAATGTAGTATCAGTACCACCTGAAAAGAACACACAGCAGTCATGTCTAAAAAAAAAAAAAAGAAAGAAAGAAAGAAAAAAAAAATAAGAATACTAAAAAAAATACAGTTTTTCCTTTCTTCATGCTAACAATTTTTTTCATGTGACCTTTGGACTAATGACCAACTTTGATCAAATAATTTTCTTAAACATGGAACTGATCAAAGTTCTCAAGGACTTGTTCAAAAGTTGTTGCTAAATGTTTATTGGACCTTTTTAAAAAGCTTATTATTGAAAATAGCTTAAGATTTTTGGTGAACCAAAGATTTTCATGTGAATGCTAATCTGTTAAAACTCCGGTTTGTAGAAAAAAAAAAAAGTGTAGCTCTCCTAGCTTTCCTCATATTAATGGAGAAGGGAGTGAAATAAACCTGAAGTAAAGCCTGCCTGCCTCACTCCCTAATTAAAGTAAGACCGACAAAGATTTCATTATCATCTCATTGCTTTCAAATCTTTTCCCTCGTACATTTCAGTTACTATGTCTAAATCAAATGAATTTTCAGATTCTGAATGCTGTGGCCACACATCCTAACCCCAAATTCTCAAAAGGCTGATCGACCTCCTAGTAGAAAGGATGTAGCAACCCCTGAAAGAAGGGTGACAGGATTTCAGTAGAAGGGAACACATGAACTCTTTGGTTCCTCACATGCCCCCATGGGAAATCATTTGCAGTTTTGGTTTCTCTGCATGTGAAATTAACTAAGTTCTTCCAGATAAACAGATGAATGGTGGAAGGTTCTGATATATTGATCTCACCCAGCCTTGTTTTCCACCTCCCCCCTGGTTGGACCAGCTGCTGGAGACTTCAAGGTGTCATAAAAACAGCTAATATGTTCCATTAGGTTACCAGAAATTCTCCTTTATATCTCATGAAGTCATGGCAAGAAGTAGATTTGCTTCTCTAAGTTTTCAGCAAGCATTACAACCACCAAAACCCACCACAGCAGATTTCTTACCTGGCAAATTAATCCCTCTAACTTCTGTTCCAAACAGCGCTAGAATCCAGTAAAAAGTGAGCATCATCTTCTTTATTAATTTTGGTTGGTATTCTGAGATATTTTCTTTAGGAACCATCTTGCTTTCTGTAAAAGAGAAAAACAGACTTTTTTTTTTTTTTGCAAATAATAAAATGATAAGACAAGAGGTTAAATGTGTATCTCATTGTGTAGCTCTATGAACATTAGCAGACAGTATTTCGTAGACACAATGTGCTTTAAAAATGAGGTTTGCAGTGCTCTTTCTGCTCATATCATTTCACACAAATTCGAGATAAATAGTATCAACAAGAATACAGAAAATCTCTTTAAAATATCTTGCAATGATATATTTATCATATATTTTACATGCAATACAGGTAAGCATTACATATATGTATATCTTCTGTATCACAGCGCTGCACTGCCTGAATTCTGACCTTAGAGAATTGCAGAACAAGGCAACATCCACACCATCGTTAGGTATCAGCTCTGTGCTGTGCCATTTGTGAGCAGAAAGTGGGGAGATTCTAACATCCAGGAGATAAGGGAGCAGGTCCACAAAGCACTCAAGAGTCTTACATTACAGCCTCCTCACCAAAATGAAACCCCAAACCCTGTTGTAGGAATTATTCTGCCTCTAACTACACAGAGGCTTGAGCTGTGTCCCACAGCCTTACCAGCTGTGGGGCTAGAGAGAAGGCAAGCTGTCCAGCATTCGTCTTCAACAGCCCAGGATGAATTTGAATATTTAGTTACAACATCTCCAACACCTGTGACTGATGTGTCTCATTCAGGATCTCAGCGAGTAAAGACGCACCCTCTGCTGATGCTCACATTGTGCAATTGAGACCTCAAGGATTTTTCTTTGCTCTTTGGGTTAAGTGACTCTGCATTTATGCAGTGGCTAGAGAGACACTGAGTCAGCCTGAGGGAAAAAAAAGGTCAGGCAAGGGCTAATCCCTAGTCTGTGAGTATCTCATGCAAATTAGACACAACTCAAAGAGGCGGGCATCAAGAGATCATCCAGGACACCATGAGTTGGCAGCCTAGACAAGAAGAACTCACACTGCATCTTTTCAGGAAGCCACCCCACATAGAGAGGAGCACTTTAGTCACTGTTCTGTTCAACACATCTCTATTCCCTACAAGTGAGTGGAACAATCTATTTTTACACTCAGAGGTCATAAAAGGTAGGCTCATTTATTTCCCTTAACCCATCCTGGTGCTGTCTTATAGACTGTCAACCGTCAAATGTCATTACCTTGTATACATCTTAAAAAAATACTGAAACTCCAAGACAGTAAGTCAATCTGAATAAAGAGACTGAGTTTCACTGCGTGAAAGCCCTCCTAAACTTTTGAAAGACTATCTTATCCACTGCATAAGGATGATTGGATCCTGACTCTCTTGGAGCTGTTTTTAAGGCAGTCATAAAGATCTCTCTCAAAGCATCCATTAGTGCTGCACCTCTGTATAAAGCAAAGATGATGTTCTGAGTTATGTCACCCACCAGTCCACGTGGCAAAAGCACACTGGTGTCAGTTGCTAGCAGAACCCAAGAGCCTTGTTTGTGATTCAGCGCTGAACTCCCTTGAGCAGGAAAGTTGATGCAATGGATTATTGTTGCCAAAGAAAGGTGGTCTCATCAGTCACTCTGTCCTCTCTTAATGGTCCAGCCCCCACTATGGTGACAGCTGCAGTTCTCTTTCATGCCTCAGTTCAATTTGCTAAACCATTAGAAGTTAAGCTCTGTGACTGCTGATTTTCCTGCTGTTCATTTGTCCATAATCAGGGACAAGCAGGCTATATGTAGCAAAACCATATGAAGTGACCATTCACAAGGCATTTAGTAATACCAATGACATATAATGTCTATGATCTCCAGTATAATTCTATGGTAACAACCCTCAGGTCACATTCAAAGGGTCACTATGAATGGGAAGAAGTGGGAAAAGGAGGGTTAAATAATGAATTTAATAGCTTTGGTCAGCAATTTGCATAACTCTCTGTTGTATTCTGCTAGCTGTGATAAGGTACATCACCACCAAACACATGAGTTAACTTAACACTTATTACAGAAGTACCATCATGACAGCATGTGAGGTTAAGAAGTGCGATCTTGTAAATGTGCTAGATAGGGAGAGGGAAATTCACAGCTGCAGCAAACAGCAGTTACCAAAAGATGGGGGTTCTTGAAAAAGGATCATCTTAAATGACCATCTACCTTTGTTTATACTGTGGGTGGACTCAAGATGATTCAGTGACATAATATATTCAGTGACTTGCTTTTATCTTGTCAGTATTTGCCAGGAAAATCAAGACAGTCTTTCCCTGGATAACATTATCTGACTGTCTTCTCCAGCCATGTGTGCATCCCTACTGTGATATCCTTAGTTCAGCAATTTAGGATGCCATTTCACTGCAAATCAACATATATGCAAAGGAGGCTAATGTGGTTTTAAAGTAATTTCCTGTGGTAAAACAATGCAAAAGAGAAGAATAAGAGCTGTTTACTTTTGCCTATGTCGTAACTCCTGTAAGACGCTCAGAAAAAAATAAAATTGATGAAAGTCACTTCAGCCTCAAAGTTATCAATTTCTACCAGTTGTCACGGATTTACACCACAAAAGCAAAGATAATCTGATTCTAAATGTAAGATTACAAATAGTCACACAAGAGAAGAAAAAACCTCACCAAGCCAATAAAGTGAAATATAGTCTAGTAAAGCTACTGACTAAGGCTTTTTTTTCTTTTGCTCAAGTAATTAAGAACACTTTACTTTAAAACGTATATTAAAAGAGAGTAAAACTAACTCACCTGTAAGTGGGGGTGGGGGCAGAGGGTGGGGAACAGACTGAAATCTAGAATTAAAAAAAGAGAGATTATCTAAAAATCTTACCTGCACATCTTACACTACGTGGTACGAATTGTGGTAAGGTTTAGCTGAACGCTGTTGAGACTCTGTTTCCTTTACAGGAATTTCCTCTACTTGAGTGTCATCATCCCTTCCTTTTTCGGTTTAATGCTTTAGGTTCAAAGTTTCCGGGTAATTTTCTTGTAAAAAGATAGGGGAAAAAAGGGTTGCCGCTACTAAAAAATCAAAGCTTTCTGAGCTTTAAATCCTTTACTTGCACTGTGTTCAGAAGCGCATTGGATTTTTTAGTTTGCTTCATTTAAGAGGAGGAATGGTAGAAAATTCTTTTCTCTCTCTCTTTTTTTTTTTCCTAAGTGCTGCTACTGGATGGGTGAAAAGAGTACATAATTTCCAAAATCTGTAAGCCACCCATACATCTTCTCAGTACAGAATAATATTCACTATACCCAGCAAGTTCTTACTGTCCTTAGAATCATAGATTCATAGAATCTCTCAGGTTGGAAAATACCTTTAAGATCATCAAGCCCTTAGTCACTTTCTGCGTAATGCGAAGAGGCACTGTATGAGGGCTGTGACACACTATTAGTATTTTTCTGTGCCCTCACACTTCAATTTTGTTGGCAACCCTAGTGGGGCTTTGCAGAAAGTGAAAAATGTAGCCCTGATGAATACGAGCTCCCTGTGACATCCCCACTGGACCTGCTAGGCAGGCAGAGCAATTCAGCATATACAATCCCACATGGTCCAGCTCCTCTTCCGAGGTTCCTTTAAGGATGTGAAATCCTTAAAAGACAGGCTGCATATTGACTCTGACTATGTAAAAGCATAAGAGCATTTCAATAGATGTCATTGGGATATACAGGTCTCTCTGCTTGTGCCAGACATTTCAAGAATAGTAGAACTTGTTTGTCCTTCCCCTGTGTGAGACTCACTCTCTTTACTGCAGTTTGGGGCAGTTATTCTATTTCATTCGGGTTTCCACAAGAAGAAGGTAAGAAAGGCTTTTTGCTATACAGCAAGTAAATGCAATATTGCCTCTGCTCAGAGAATCATAGAATCATTTCAGTTGGAAGGAAATGTTAAAGGTCATCAAGTCCAACTTCCCTGCAATGAACATATGCAGCTCAGTCAGGTTGCTCAGAGCCCCATCCAGCCTAAATATAGACACATTCTTTAAGGCAATAGCCAGTAATATTTGTTTATGTTGGGTCCTAAGCATGTGGAAATATAAGATGGGTATTCTCAGATTCCACAGCTGGTGATTAAGCTTGGTAGTTGTCTCCTCCAATATCTTCAGTATTTTGCTCCAGTACAAAATATGTTTGATTTCTAAGTTATAAGAGGCTCCAATGGTTCTTTATAAGTTTCACTATAAAGAGATGAGCCTTTTGTAGGTGTCCTTTCTGACTGGGGAGAGAAAAAAAAACAGTTCACTTTTCCCTATAAGGAATAATGGAATGCAACACAGACAAAGCAAAGCCCATGCTACCTTCATAGAATCACAAAATCATAGAATCATAAATATTGGAAAAGATATCTAAGATCTTCTAGTCCAACCATAGACCCATCACCGCCATGCTCACTAACCTAAAGCCATTGCTCAGACGGTCAGGAAGAGGGCTGATTTCCAAATACAGATCTTCCAGACATAAAACATACGTCAACCTTTTCAAATACTAACAGGTTCATTAAAATAAATAATAATAAAAAATGAAGTAGTCCAATCACTTGATAAAACACCAGTCACCCAGAGTTTTGAATGAGGCCAGATGGATGAAAATCTTGTCAAATAGTACCAACTATTTGGCTCAGCTTCTGCCCAGACTCACCCATCCTCTTCTGTAAAAGTAATATATATTCTAAAAATCAGTCTCACTCACTGTACTTATCAGGCTCCTCCTTTCCCTTTGCTGCTAGAGCATGTTTACAAAGGAACTGATCCAGAATTCCCTCTCTGCCTCCTCTCCACTCACTCATTCAGCATATTTTAGGCTATGGCCATAGTAAACTGCAGGCTCCACACTCAGTAGTACCTCTCCATCCCCCATCAAGGCAAGAGTCCGTATCCTACCTTGTTCATCTCACATCTGCTCAAGCCTTCTGTCAGTGAGGAAGCAGAGGGGAAAATATACTTCTCATCATCATCTCACCATCTCAGCATGTAATCTTACGCTAGTAGGAAGAATTAAGTCTCTTTACCATTCTTGTACCATTCTGGCTTGACACATTCATGCACCACATCCTTGCCTCCCTAGCTATGGTTAACAGTGACTGGGTAAGATATTTTCCACTCTATTTTCTACACTGTGTCAGTGGTGTTGGTTCTGCTGTCACAGATGTCTGAACAACATCTGAACATGAACTTCTGTTCACCTTGTACTGGATTATATGGCCAGTGGAATGGCATAAGTCAAGGGTGGCTTATGGAGCAGTGGTGTAACTCTCCTATTACTTCCCTGTGAAATAAAGGAAAGTCTTGTTATCTACTATAGTTCTGTTGCAGTACAGCACAGTTTTCCTTAGTCATTAGAGTGCAGTAAGACTAGTGTCACACTGATGCAATAATAACTGAACAGATCACCCGCAGGCAAAGAAAAATGCAAAGCATGCACTTATGAACCAGGCCTTTGAAATCTTTTTTCTCATAACCTTTCACACTGTTAATCAGAAAGGATTGCTTAGTACCTCAAATTTGACAGCAGATCTTTCTTGATAGTGTATCCCACTCATTGGAAGCCAAGAAGTGTAAGCCTGGCACAGATGTCCACCACTGCATTAAGGGTTTTCATGCGGAAACTCACTATGCTCTAGCACTGAAATAGGTCAGCATAATTTCTCCATTACTGCTACAGGAGATTTTACTATTATGATGGCTTTAATACTCAACACCAATTGTTTTTTTTTGTTTTTTTTTTTTAGTGTTTTGTTTTTTTTTCTCTTCCTGGATAGATTTCTTTACAATGCTCCTATTCCTTTTCCCATTCATTCAATCAGCTTGAACAATTTAAATTCTTCCTGAGCCCTTTCACTTGCTTCACCCAGTGATTTTCTCTGCCTTGCACTTCTCAAGGTCTCACTTTGCTGAGAGCATTTCATCAGGATTTGCACTGTATCATTTGACTTCCTTCCATCATACTGGCAGCTGACAACAATCAGCAAATACATTGAAGTTCTTCTCCCAAGTTTTCATCTCCAAAGTATGAGTTCCTTCTTTGTAGCTGATTTTTGTTGTTATTCCCTAGAGCAGTATCTTCCTTCAGTACTATAAATGTAATTATTCTTGATATACTACATTATAAGTCACAACACCCAGAGACATTGCTTTCACAGCTGAGCTGGATATTTAGGCTTTAATCTCCAAGTGAATACCTGGCTGCAGAAATGAGGAGTACCCCCTAATATAGTATCCTACAAGAGCTGTCTCCGCAATGGAGATTCAGACTGCTCCTAGTATATAATGACAGCTCTTTGTGAACAGCACCAGTCACTAGTAAATTTGCTTTTTTTTTTCTTCTTAAGTCAGATTTGTACAGCTTTACATAGTTTTAGATACACTTGTAGAACAGCATTCCTTTGCCACAGTCAGAAAACCTCAAACAGCTACATTTTTCCTGCACTGTATAGTCAATATTTTGTAACCACATATTAAAACGTCTCCAGCACATGACTGGAACTGACTTAACTATGGTAGTTGCCAAAATAATTAGAACTATGAAATGTAAATCTGTGTCATAAATAACTTAGGCCATCAAAGTACTGTACTTTTAGTTCTGAATTTGATGAATAATACACAACAAATATATTACACTGGACTGCAGTGTATCTCACTTGTTGTACATACTATACCCCAGTAACAGAGGCCAAAAAGAAGATGAAACAATGCAATATAAGAGACAAATCCCCCTGATGAGCTGATTGCAATGAGCAAAACTCAAAAATGAGACTGCTGAGTTCTATCTGCACCTGTTTTCTCTGAAGTTCAGGAAATTTGGTGTATTGAACCACAGAAAATTTTCACGAGTTAGTCAAAACTGGAACAGATTATTGTGGAGTGTCTTTCAGTATTGTACCCAGTGTAGCTTTGGCTGTTGCAAAAAGCTTGGTAAATACTGTTTCACACAGACATTTTATCTAAATATAGCTACTAAATCAGAAAACCATTTCAGAAAAATCCCAATCACATTTTCTCTTTCAAAACACTGAATGCTCTTCAGATATACCACAAGCATCTCACTAGGAGGGCAACACTTGAAACATTTTATTAAACATACAAACACACAAAAAGATTTAAAGAGGTAAAGTTTCCCCCTTCCATGCAAGGTAGAACACAGTCAGTAATTTAAACGCGTACTGGTTCTAGAGTAACCTTCTCAAACATAAATTGAGGGACATGGATTAGTGGGCATGGTGGTGATGGGTCGATGTTTGGACTAGCTGTGCTTAGAGGTCTTCTCCAACCTTAATGATTCTATGATTTATCTTCATTCCTGTCAGTCTTTATTTTCTTCCAGTTTTTATGGTCTTTGCTGACATGAGGCATGAATCTACTGTTTTCTGGAGGTGATACTTAGAATACTAGACCATAATGCACAGATCAGCTGCAAATTGCTTCTAGAGTTGACAAGACCAGCATAAAATAACCTTGCTCTGCACACGATAGGCTTGTGCCCAAGGGTTGGAGATCTCACTTTGGGGCTGACTTCAAAATTTCAATTTCTTGTTTTGTAAACATGCTACTGGTGGCTTCCTTCTGCACATATCTTCAGTTTATCTGCAACATAACCTGCAAATCTTCCTTCTGTCCTCCAGTCCTTCGACCTGAGACTAGTGGAAGAGACAGTATTTGTCCTGAAGCTTCAATACAGGCTCAAATATCTCCTCATTCATCCCTGCTTTGCAAGTTCTACCTTTTCTTCTGTGTCTTTAAAGAATGCAGAAGGCAATGGAAGAACAGAAATGCTCACAGGAAAATATTATTTATGGATATGAAATGAAATGTGGTGTCCATTTAGAAGGATCTCTTTTCTCTGCAGACTCAGATTTCTGCAGATTTGGTGCAGACATTGATGATAGCCATACAGGGTAGAATTCATTGACAACACTCATTAACCTTCTATATTTCCAGGCCCTTGCACACTGTAATACTGATACTATATAGGACAGTACCAACTTTTCCCAACACTTATGTTCATTAGACAAGAAGACTTCTTTGGCACCCTTTTTTTTTTTTCTTCCCTACATTGTGAATGACAGTAGTCAGGTACAGGATGGAATGGTAAAAAAATGCAGAGACTATGATTTCACAGTCAGTACCGATGAGACAAGAATCTTAAAGACTGCTATCTTACAACAGCTGTCTCCTTACTGATCCCATCTGCATTCTCCTCTGGAAAATTATTTATTCCAGAAGCTTGTTCCGATTCAGCTTGGTTTATTTACCTATTTTACAGTACAAAAGAGACACTGCTTGTGTAAAGTAGGTCTAACAACACTTCTGCTTATTCTTGCATATTTTTTCATTACTCAGAGTTTGATTTTTGCCACTTACTGCTGAGTAACTGCAGCAAAAACAGAAGCCACTTGTACAGAGGGAGAAATAAATTTTTATTAAGTGCAAAAAATGGTACAAAAATGCTAAAGGAATCACTGAAATGATCTCAAAACAACAATCATGTCAATTCACATAAAAATTGACACAAACATCATCAGAAAAACCAAAAGAACTACAGTCTATAAAAGCCTTACTAGTAGCCTCATTTCTCCAGAGAGTGGCAAACAGAAAGTAGGCATTTCTAAGCCTTGGTTCAAGTCAGCAATTTGGGACCTAAGAGCGATAAGAACTGCTGTTCTCCTTATGTATGCATAGTCCTATTTTCCCTTGTCTCCTTTTACCATGGCACACTACTCGGCAGTGAATACAGCCAGCCTGATTAAATCTGACTCCTTCTGTCTCTGCCTTTCTCCATGTTCACTTCTCTGCTCAGTGCTGCCCAAGGCCTGTCTGCCAAGCTTTCCAGAGTAGGAACCATTTGTTTTTACTTCCAAGCAGAATCCTTAGAAAATACCAAAACACAAAACCAAAAGCACCTAAGTATCAGAAATATGCAAGTTTAATGAACGTCATTCTACAAGTAGGAAAATGTGATATCAAAAGATTACACAATGAAGTTGTTGTGGAATAAGAGTTCAGCTCCTTATGCAGACTACTGAGGAAACATCCTTCGGGATATAATTTAGTATTGGAGTTAACATGATTCTAGCCAGTGTGGTGATTCTACATTCTTCTCAAATCTCAGACTGTTATGAACACTGTCTCTCAAAAGTAATTGCAGTTTGTGTTTTCTATTTGAATTTATTGAAGCTGGTAGCTTTCTGCAGCAAATTCCATCTCCAGAATTCCTATATGACTGTATTAAAGTCACAGCCTCCAGTCCACGGTCGAGTCCCTTCTGAACCTAGATCTAGATTCAGACAGTGTCCTTTGGTGTTTGACTTGGTAGGTTTTGCTGGCATTAGGTACCGAAGGTTCTTCCAAAATCTGGAATTCACAGGGAGAGATTTATCTTTTTTCCACTTCACTACCCTCTTTGATGGCAAAAGAGACAGCGATTCTGGCAAGAAATTGTAGTCACGTATAGGCATATACTCAATTAATATAATCTTCGTTTTCCTTTCTACTAGAGCTTTATGCAGTCCACTCTCAAGTTCATATATGGCTCTGTCAGAAATGTAGTTCTGGCTCAGTATAATGATTAATCTTCGGCTTTTGTCAATGAATGAATGGATATCATCAACAACAGCTGCAAATTAAAAAATAAATGTGTTATTAAACTAAATTGAAAGGGCAGGCACTGAACTGACTTCTCCTTTAACAATTGCACATGTACCAAAATGTTCTCCTTGTGAAGAACCATCTTGTTCTTAAGAATAGATTAATATTCATTACAGATAATAAATTTGTGAAAATAAGCTCTCCCATGGTCGAAGCTTAATCTCTGCAGCAGATAAAAATCTACTTAAAATTTCCAGCTATCTATCTGTAATCATACATACAGAAGGTGACAGTAAAATTTATTCTTCATCTACTGATGCCATTAGAGTGATTCCACACAAAGTCACCAACAGCCACCTCTCCCTGATTACTCAATAAACACCAGCTCACTCCTTTTCTTCCACTGAAATCCCAAATCTACTGCCGGTAATCCAAGGCTAAGAAGGCTAGCATGAGATGGTAGAATGAGTTTCAGCATTATCTCCACAACCATGAGGCAACAAGGTCTACAGAGCCTACAAATCTGGAAAACATGCCTCGTAGGGAAAGAGAAAGCAAACTGCAGAAGTAACCAAAGAAGAGAAAACTGAAAGGAGAAGGAGACTGGCAAGGCTACTGCAAATAGAAGGCTCCTGTAAATAGAAGGAAACAATCTGTTTTCTATATTCAGAATAGATCACACCAGAGAAAATGAAATAAACTACAACACTTGAAGGGAAGAATCAAGTTGAGCACATAGGAAAGCCTTTTTTATAATACTCAGAACTTATTGGGAAATTTGTGGTGTTACTCACAGGTTTGAATAATATGTCAGGAAAGGATATGTGGACAGAAGATCCTGTCTTGAAAAGGAGAGTGACTGAACTTACTGTTTTGAGATTTTAACATGAATCCTACCTCCCAAACAGGCCTTCAAATTTATGAATTAATTTTTTTGCAAACATCTGTAAAAGGCTATCTGCTCATAGGTCATTTAAAGAAACAAAATGTCATGCTTTCATGTATATTTTCCTACCCATTTGTCATCTATTGGATAAAAAAAAAAAAACCTGCCAAAACAAGGATAGAAACATATGAGTTACCTGAGAATACTTTTAATACCAGAACCATCAATTTCTCTGTGCAATAAATGTAAGTTAATTCACAGACACCTGCCCTCAGCAAAAGCAGAGAAAGGGCTCTACCATCATGAAGCACCTTATATTCTGTGTTCTCACCCTCTCTCCATGGCATCTTTTCCACCTATTTATCTTGACTGCCTAATTAAAGGTATATATGCAAGTGTATATGAATTTATAAAATTACATAAAATCAATAAAGTGTCTTCATGCTGCCTCTGTGAGCAAACATAGCCTATAGAAAATGAAAAGGTACGACTTCAATGTAAAGAACTTTGGATAGAATTCTTTCTTTAGCTTTGCATGAAAAGGGTGTGTTCATTTAATGTCAAGAATATTCAATATGCTTACCTCCTCCAGGAGATACATCTCTCTCAAATATACATAACTTGTACCCAAAGTTTTCTTCTAATATCGTTGGTAATATCCTCAAAGCAAATTCTCTCTCTTCTTTACTAGTAGAAACACAGTCTTTCAGGTAAGATACAAAAGCATCATATTCTTTTCCATCTGGAAACAAATCACCCATTTTTATCTTGTTGGCAAAGATTAGAAATAAACTATCTGATCCACCATTCTGGTTTACAAAATTAGGTTTCAGTTGCAAAGCATCTAGAAGCTTCTGCTCTTTTTTTTTTTCTTTTAAACAATAGATAACTCAAAAATTTGTATTTGGTTTTGTTTGCATTTTGCAAATATTTGAAAATAACATATCCATTTTCCATTATATTTTTAAATCAGATTAATTTAACCAGTTAATGTGATACTTACAATGATCAGAAAAAAAGAAGGATTTTACTAAAGAATAATAGAAAAAAATATGCTTATAACTTGATAAGAATATTAAATAAGTCACACTTATTTTACTCTTTGTCTAGTACTAACATGTAGGTCTGAAGAACAATAAAATAAGCCAGTTTATTATTTTAACGAGTTAAGAGTTACAAGAATATACCACATTTGGTTATGTACCAGGAAGCAATCTATAAGCATAAAATCAAATTAAGACCAATTCCAAAACTAGATTTACCACATTGATCAATCCCTAATTGAACCTTGCCACAAACAGCTGTCTGGATTGATACAAAACATATAGCTTTGCATCAACTATACTTCTTCCTTAGCATTAAACAGATAGATAAATAACTCTCACAGGAAACAATGACATTCACCCATGAAAACTGAGAAAACTCCAACCACTGCAGTTTATTCAAGCCAATTTATAGTCTAGACTGCTACAGACAAAGAAGCATTTTAATAACAACCAGAAGGGCACCACTGAAGTGAAAACAAATTTCTACTGATCTATCACTTTGACAAGTGCAGAATGCTCATTGTGGATAGATACTTGTACATTTCTCCATCTGTGCCAACATAGGTGATGCAGATCACTACAAAATAAAGCATACTTGAACAGCATCCAATTACGTCCCTCCTACTGCCTGCTCCAGAGGTAGCTTCTCTGTGCTTATCTGCTTTACTATTCCAAGAAGATAATATCATTTTAGCACCTATTATTATCTTTTATGTACTCTTTGCTCTTTCTACTCACAGAACTCCTGCATTTATTTTCCCACTTCCTCAAAGGTGGCCATTTTATAGAATCTACTGGAAGCTATTTTTTTTTCAATCAATGCTCTACTTCAATGTCAGCATTAGCCAAGTCATACCTCCAGCAGTGTCATCTCTTTGGCTTATGTTCCTGTAGAATAGAACTAAGTCTACTCTGAACATCACACAGACAACTACCACAGCCATAGCAACACATGGAAACAGTACAGCAAGGATCATTCCAGTTGTAAATACGTGCATAGGCAGATCTCGGATGTTTCCTGTAAAAGAGAAACCCAAGAAATTATAGCCTTAACAAAGAGTATTATATGATAAAATTATGATAGCAAATACTCATGACATCTTAAAATCACCCAAACTGAAATGTTGATGTGAATCCTTTCCTGCTAATATTTCAGGCACACATGTATGCCATTAATCCTGAGACGAAGAACTGAAGAACATAGTTTACTCTAAAAACAACAAAATTAATCTTGTGTGCACACACACCCTAGATACACATAAATGAGTTTCATATGGGGTCAATACTGAGATAAAACTCCTCAAAAATGTACAACATCCCAAACTGGAGAGCTATAGAAGGTCAACTGCTTTTTTGATGAATTCTCTTCAGGATCTTTATTGTTTCCTCTTATTTGCTACTCCTTTCTCAGCTCATCAATAACAGCACTTAATGTCCTTTTTAATCTTTTTTTTTTTTTTTTTTTTTTAATTTCTGTGTCTACTCTCTTTCAAGCTTTTTTTTATTTATTTATTCTGTTATCCTTTTATTTTAAATTCCAAATATGTATTTAAATTCTAAATATGGATTAAATGTTTGTGAAGTCCTTTGTGAAAGCACTGTCATGTCATGCTCACTGTAGTCTGTACTTCATTTGATCTATTATCTGCTGCATATTTTAACATCAACTAGTCTATTTGCACACTTAACATTAAATATTTCCTCCAAATAAAGATTGGAAAGGTCTGAGATGGAAAAAAAAAAAAAGGAGTGCCCATTTTTCAGGAATCTCCAAGCAGTCTAAACAATAAATATATAGTATTACCGTAAGGTAGAGGTCAGTTTTCCAGTGCTAGAGAGATAGAATCCCTGACAAGAGAGAGATCTTCGACCAGAATGCCCAAGGCATTAGTGGGAACATCAAAGACTGCCCTTTATAACAAACTACTACAAAGGGATTTGTCAGCCAGAGCTCAGCTCTGCTTCCCCAGGATGTACCCATGGCAGCAGTGGTTTTACCCAGGGAGCCTCAAACAGCTGCTACAATCCCCACTGCCCCATCTCAGTGCAGAAGGAGTCACCTGGAGGTATGTTAAGCCCAGCATCAGAGGGGTCAAGGCCTTTGCAAGCATGCATGTGTGTCTGGACTGATATTCTGAAATCAGTGCTGTGCCACCATTGCCAAGGGGGCTGGCACAAATAATAATTAAAAATGAGAAGCATGATTCACAGATTATACTGTACCTTTTTTCAGTTTCACTACTTTTATTTGCATTATTTCATCAGCTTGCAGTGTGCAGGTGAAATTGTGATGCAAGTCCTCCTCTCTTACTTTTTTAATCCGTAGAAGCCTTGTGATATAAAACTTGTTTCCCAAACTGCAATAAGGAATTATATTAGCAATACTATATGCATAGAAATTGACAATAAGTTGAGAAGCAGACTTTGAGGAAAAGGTTGTAGAAGAACCTCAGGCATTTTAATTAATTTTCAGTCCACAGCATATGACAGAAGATCAGTATTTTCTGGAAACCTACTGTGATTTTTTTAAATCTTCTTCACATATTGGTGGGTCAGCCTCAGGAATATCTGAACATTTTTTTGGAAATGTATCATTAAACCACCAGTAGAGGTTGGCATCTTCTTGTATATGATAACCCAAGAAACCTGTGCAGTTGAGTGTCTCTTCTTTACCTAAACGAAACATAACATAAGAAGATTTAATCAAAAGCAGCATTCACATTTACAGTGCAGCAAAATATGAGCTTTACAGGTCAGATATCCAAGTTGCTATCCTCCTTTCTGGACTTAATAGCCCTACCACAAAGTTTTATACATGTTCCATCTGCACTGTTGCACTCCATTGCAGAGTCAGATTATGTCAGATTAACTCCATAACAGGCAGAAAAGTTCAAATAGATCAAAGACTTTAGTGAACTAAACTGCGTGCTGCAGGAAGAGAAAAGAACAACTCACCAGTACCCCAGGGCCAGGTAAGGGGAATTAAACCAACTGATGGGGATAACTAAACTGTATATAACAACACAAAGAAATAACAAAACCTACTATGGCTTGTGATGACCTCTCACAGAAGAAGCTGCCTTCTCTTCCAGTTGAACAGTTCAAGAATCTCTAAAGCAAGTCTAGCTGAAAGTATGCCAGCTTTAAATTTAGACCATCTGAATCCAAATCACAGTTGCACAGTTTGAAACATAGACCTAAACACTTATTATCAACTATGCAACTTGAGCCTTACTGTGCGCAACTGCTGTTTTCATGAAAATTTTATAGAACACTGTTTAAACAACACAAGTTTTGAAAGTCCATGGACCAAATTCATCCAAAATTCCCTTCATTCTCCACCATGCCATAATGCTGAAGGTAAACCAACATCTGGTGCCGTGGCTGAGCAAATGAGATTCACATACGAGCAACAGAGGTGTTAACTAAGAATTTGCAAAATGGTGCAAAGGAAGACTGGGTAATGGAATGGGAGAAGCCCTCAGACACAGGACAGAAAACAGACAGACAAATTTATGTTCTTGAGAATTATATACAGTCTCAACAGGAAAATCTCAGATGGTTTCCAATACTGTGTGAATCCTACAGACCATGTTATCTAACCGCCAGCTAGGAACATGGTCAAGGATTCTTTGCAGCAGTAAGAGATCTGCTTTTATTGACAGGACTGTCATCCCTCAAATTTCACACTGCACTGCAGAGCAACGTCTTTGACTGTAACAGATATGAAAGGGATTACTTATTATTGTTGCTAATGAAAAAAACAACCAGACGCATTTCACACATTGTTCTGTGTTGTTTGCTGTCTAAAAATAAAGCCATGGAGGGCTGGTTTATCATTACCGCCACTTTTTCTTGATGGTTATAGCAACAACCTCCTCTTCTGCCTCTGCAAGGGTGAATTTAGAGTACTTGTAGATAGGTCATGGAATCCACTAGTGAAAACATAACCATTTGTGAAGACGTATTAGATCCAGCAGGGTATAGACAACTATTTCAGTTAAACTTAACCAGACCATCAGCCATAAAGAGCTCAGGATTAAAATATGTATACAAACATGTATAAAAATACTCATGTTAATTTCGTACCTATTTCTGTTTGAATTTCTTCATTGCGTCCAACTATCTCCAAAGTTACAGTCTCTGGCGCATCTAAAAAATATATACATAAAAAAGTTTTGCTATTGAAGCTTTCTTACATTCTACAACAGTAAAAATGACACATTTCTGGAACTGATCACATAGATTCCTAATTCAAAGAGAAATATCTCAACCCATCATTATCGAGCAGTTAAAAAGCAGTATTTCCTGATGAATTTTCTGCATCTCAATACGTACAGAGAAGATAGTTTACAATGGTTGGAAGGGCTCTTTCCCCAGAATTTATAAGTTTGTATGACTTACAGCAATTAAAAAAAAAAAAAAAAAAAAAAAAAAAAAGCCACCTAAAACTGCAGAGAAAACTTACTTAATTTTCCAAACTTGGTAATATGTGAATTTCTGCTTTTTATTTTTGAATTATTGCAAGATACGTCAGATTGCCAGATCTAATTACATCAAAATACTTATCAAGTAAGAATTGTAATTAAGAGATGATGAATGACATCCAATCATAAACAGATTTAGTAGGAAACATTTCTCACAGTGAAGTAAACAGAAAACATGCTTCAGTTTCAAGTTTTCTTACCTTCTTCTACTACCAGCCTAATTGTATTGGTGCTGTGGTATATCTTTCCGTCATGACTGATGGAAATTTTGCAGGTATATATACCAGAGTGCTGAACTGATAAAGTTTTAAAATCCAGTTCCCGTCCAGTTTCATTTTCATAGTTCTTACAGTCCTGCATCAATAAAGCAAGAAAATATTATACTGTATGAAACAAATATTCAACACCTTAAAAAAGACAAAAACGATCTTCAGAATGAAGAATCACTCTTGTACTATCTCAATAGCATTTACCTGACCCAAAGGAGGTGGGGCCCCAATTTCCAATTACTGTCATTTAAAGGCAACACCTGAACATCCAACCCACTAAAAGTTGAGAGCACTGCCTGAATTACCTGACATTATGAATGGTCAAAGTGGCGAGCAGGGGCCTTGCTAAAAATCTAATGGCTGATTATAACAACACTCCACAGTTACGGGTGCTTCATCTGTCGTCTATGCACCAGCAAAACTGCTCCAAAGATCAGATTTGCCTAAAGTGACCAGAACTAAGTCTGATACACATTCTGTAAAACATGTTCAGAAACAGTAAAATTTTAAAGTTTCTCGATAACTTTAAAGGCACATGTCAGCTGTTAAACAAATACTTGGCAATTCATTTAGTGTCAGGATGACACCTATACTGGCAAAACAGATAAACAAGCTAACAAACATGCACATCAGGTCTTCTTCCATTCTAAACTACCAGTAATTTCTGATTACAGGTATTATTTCTAACAAATTTGAGAGCAGAGGGAAACTTTATTCTGTGTATCTCTCTCTAGAGGCTTACTTTCACAATAATTTGAAAAATTAAAGCATTATTGGGTTTTTGATGGTTCTAAAAATCTCTATAATTCACTTTTCCTGCAATTAGATGTTCTACCTATAGATGTTCTATCTATAACCAATGCTTTGATTTTTTTATTACCTTATACCATGTTATGCTGTCATTTTCATTGACAGACAGATCATTGCATTTCAATGAATGACCAGTTTCAGCATTTTGAATTTCAGTTGTTAAATGATTTTGATTGAAACAGCTGCTTTGATTTCTTTCAAGTACATTCAAGGTCCACTTTTGAATTGTGAAATTTCGTTTTCCACTGCTGTGAAAAAAAAGATTTGCAAAACTAGTTTTAAGAGCTTTTCAAAGGAATTCAGCTTAGCAAGCTACGTAACAAAATAAAAGTAAGTCCTTTAAGCTCTAATAGGTAAAAAATACATGTACTGTGAACTGATTATTTACATTCCCTTTATTACTTTCCTATTTCAAATGTGTTATTTCCCACAGTAAAAAGGTTATCTAAACTAAATTACCTATCATAACGCATTTGACAATAAAATTATATCTATTAAATGTGACAACAGTGTTCTTGTTCTGGTAGATATAGTTTGTACTACATCTACCAGAACAAGAAATCAAATATCTGTGGCATTGTACATAGTTAAATATGGAAATAAAAGAGTTTAAGTAGCTTGAATCAGCTATTGCTCTTGCAGGTTTAATTTCCCATGCTTTGATAAGGTCTAAAGTAGTAACTGAGAAATCTATTTATTATAAAAATATTTAAAATAAAATAGGCAACTCTGGTTTTGTTCACAAAGTCCCATTTTTTTCATTGTTTAATACTGTGCGGATAATCACCAAAATTTTGAAAATGTTTCTAAACTCTGCAAGTCTCATGAATTACTGAATCACGAATTTAAGCACGTCTGCAGAAGAAAGCATTTTGGAAAGGTTTAATCTCATTTTCAACATAGTCTCCACTGAACAGAGCTCTACAGTTTGCTGGCCACCACAGGTGGATAGAAGAGCCAGCAACTCTTCTTCTAAAGCAATTTCATTGCATCTCATATCTATAAAAGGAAATGTAAATATGCAGTAAAAATGCCTCTGTTAAATCTCTAGAAGCTGATCGTGACCATCCAGATATCTACTATATTCTACTTGCGTTTTTCTCTAAAGATTGTAGCTGTAATATTCCTTGCTGAGCTGTTATATTTCTATCACTTGTGATAGTTTTTGGGCATACACAACAACTTCTGGATTAACAAACTTTCCAACTTACCCATCACACCCACAGAAAAGGAACAAAAACCAGCTTGACTCAGGAAACCATACAGGGAACTGAAAGCCCTTAGGGCATATAATCCAATTTTACCATAAAGACTGCATACATACACAGTTCTAAGCTATTTCAGTGCAACAATCCAGAGTTAAGTCAGTATTTCAATCTACAAAACAAAACTGACACTCAGCCTTCAATACAATATTATCTCTACATGTGTGCATTCCCACTGCTTTCAACAGCTCTGAGAATCTTAAAAATAAGCAGTGTTAGGAACTTATTACACATCAGGTGTCTGTCATGAATCTCCACACACTAATTTTTTTCAGGAACCTTTATTTCAAGGTCACTAGTACAGAGCCACAAGATGACCTGCTTTCTCGTTGGTTTCTTTGTTGTTGTTATTTTTTTCTTTGCCAACCACAGGAAATAGGTATAAAAACCACACAAACTGGAGATCTTGCCAAAAATGTGCAACACAGATTTCTGCTTACCACTCCCACATGCAGTGCCTATGAAGTCCTTTATGTTCAAGAGATGTTGCTGAAGATGGACACACTCAGACTTTCAGGCGATGTCCATTAATTCCTAAATTATGTCCTCAGTCTACTGCACTAATAAATGTGCAAACACATCAACATATACATCTTTGGCTATATACGCTATGTCTCAGCAGAACTGCTGAATTAGAAAACTTCTGATTATTCTTTAAGTCAAAAATAAGTGGATAACACAACATACGTACACTGTTACAATAGTTTCGCCTCTCTCTCCTTGCACATTGTCAGTTGCAACAGAGCAGGAAATAATTAATTAGCTTGCAAAATATGAATACTGTGTTGTCACATAGTTCCTGAAATCCTGCAGTGAATTTGATTGACACTTTGGTCAGTTAAAACTGTTTACCTATGCAGCTAAAAAATCTTTTCCCATATACCTTAAAATCCTCATATCTGTTATTACTAATTATTAATTAATTATCAAACAGGTAAGTGAAAATATGCTTAGTTTGTTTACTTTTAAACCAAAATTTTAGCGTAATATAAATGTTCTGAAACAAACTTCATTCTGACAATCTTATTAAATCTTAAACCAATTCAGTAGCCCACAATAATCCACAGTTCTTCAATGTCAATTAACTCCTGAAAGTCCTCCTTCACCGCAGAAAACTGATTCTGCAAATAGTCTTCAACTGCTCTGAGTATGCTTTCCTATACTGAGAACTATCAGAAAAACTAATCCCAAGATACAGTGAAAATCCTATTAAAAAAAAAAAAAAAAACAAACACAAAACTTATTGTTCCAATAGCCTTCATTCTAATCTTAAATACAAACGAACAAACAAACAAACCTGAATATCTGTATGAAGAAATTCTAAATAAATAAATAAATAACTTAAAAATTGTTTCAGGGTGGCCAAAATATTTCCTTTTAATTCAGAAACTTTTTTTTCATAAATAAAAATGCTTTCTTCTATAACACATTTTTCAAAGGTAGTATCATAATACAACGTTTTAGAAAATGAAAAAAGGTTTCATAGCAAAATCAAAACTCAACTGCAAATGAATACTTCGATAAAATCAAAAACTTTCTTCTGAGTTTCCTTCTTAGATACATCAGTTAATCACAAAGGATCACTGCTGTGTAATCACAAATTTCACAAAGGATCACTTCTGTGTTTTTGAACAAATAATCATTTTAACAAACAATATTCTAATAATTTTATTCGGGATCTTTTTCCATCACCTCCATCTCAGACATGTATTCATTTTATACAATTGATGCAATGTACCTGTAGGTTTACTATCATTACTGCAACTCCTCAAAGCTTTTACAGCTGTGTTACCACACATTTCCTCTCCAGTGAGCTTAAAATCTCCTTTGGTTGTACTGTGGTTCAGGTATGCTGCTAATTCCATGCCAAAACAAGCCAGAGCATGATTTTACAGCATTATTTAGGTGCTGGCTGTAGAGCAAGATGTTAGATTTAATAACATTTTAGAACCATATTTAGTGAAGTTACTGTATGGATGACTGCTCAAGGCCATTAATAAAATAATAAAATTTTGTGGCAAGTCCAGATTTGATATGAAAAGTATAGGTCTACCAACAAGCCAAGTAGTATCTAATCTCCGTATACCACAACTGATCAGTTTGCTTTTTACCTCTGCTAATGTAGACATATACCTGTACTCAGTAATATGCTAAATCTGTACTACTTTGAAGAACAAAGTAGCCAGGTTACCACTGTCATCATCCCTAAAGCCAATTCTCTTCAGACTGGGTTCAACACACACTAGAAAAATATTTCTCAAACTTTATGTACTAGTTGGAGAAAGAACAGTTTGCCATTAAAAGGAAATCTCTTAAAAACAAAAGAAATATTCATGTGTATCTTTGTTCTACTTACAGATTTCTCATTTACAATATTCAGCATTTCAGATACGGTGACTCAATTAAAAAAAAACAGCCATACATGGAAAAGTATAACATGAAGTTTTCATCTTCTGTGTTAACTTGAACTTTAACTAAGTAACAAGTTAACAATTAAAATCTATATAATATTATGCTATCAAATGTCTGTCTGCAATGTTGCTGGAGAAATGCTGGATAGCATTTCACAGTATTTGCAGAACTATAATGAAACAGCATCCTTTATGAGCCAAGAAAGAATCTTAAAAAGATTACTTCAGCAACAGCACAAATCATTACATGCAAACTAATATAAAATGAATTATGACTTCAGTTGTAAATCCTGAAGTGCAGTTGTGGTGCAGGTTTGTCTTAAGAGCTCCTGCAACAAATCTAATCCTTTGGTCATTCTTCATGGTCTGATAAGGAATACCACAATCACTTGAGGCCCGACCTCACTTCCCCTTTTGACTTATGATGTTCTATGGTGGTAAGAAATTAAATCCAATTATTTTCTTTGCTCCATGAACAGCTCCAGGTATGCAAAGCTTTGCACAGAAACCAGAGTTCAACTATGCTGCTGTTACTTCATTCCACATTTAATCAGCAGGCATCACAGCAGGAGCTCCACTCAACACAGTAAGAACAGGTTTGGTGTAGAGAACAAGCAAATTATAGAATCAAAGAATAGTCTGGGTTGGAAGGGACCATAAAGATGATCTATTTCCAATCACCCTGCTGTGGGCAGGGTTGCCATCCACTAGATTGGGTTGCTGAAAGCCCCATCTGACCTGGCTTAAACCACTTTCAAAGATAGGACAACCACCACTTCTCTGAGCAATCTGTTCCATTGCCTCACTACCCTCATAGTGAAGAATTACTTCCTAAAAATGTTTCCTTTTACTTGGCAGTTGACAGGAGTGTCTTACCTCCTTATGCTTAGGGAATTAGCCATATAGCAGCAAAAATGCTACCTGTTTTATCCAATCTTTGAAAGGCAGTATCTGCCTACAGCTATTTGCATGTATTGTAGGTCCTTCTGGGTGGTCACTGAGAAACTGTGACACCACAATTAATGCAGTTCTCCACACTTCCTTTGTGTGGATACCACAAACAATACAAAGCAAGACAAAGAAATTACTACATTCATAGATAATGGCAAAGGCAGGATGCTCATCCACTCGCTGTGTACCCACCTTTGAGTGACAAAGTAATTCCCAGAGTCATCAAGTTCAGCTGGCCAAAACTCCAGAAAATTCATTTGGGATACAATTCTGTGTGTTTCCTTTATTCGCTTCTGCATTCCAGCACTTTCTTTGTACCAGTTTATTGTGTATTCTTCTTTCCAAGAATGTTGTAGTTTTGATTCAGGAAAACAAAGGTAAAAATACTCCCCTTCTAGTACATCAATGGAGGCACGAAGAGGACACAGCTTCTCTTCAGAGAAAGAGGGAAAAAGGCGTAATACTCTTTCAGAAAATAATATCAGCTTGACTTTAAAGTGATCTGCTGCACAGCAGGTCTTTTATAAAATGACTTATTATTTTTTTTTTTTTAGCAGAGTAGACTGACAGAATTTATTTGCTCCAACAAAATCTGTTTCTGTCTATCTTACTGAACCAAAACTAGAAGACATACAAGGATTAAAAAAAAAAGGACATTTCCCTAAAATTCTTTCATGTGGGTCCAAAATGGGCACAGGTGGCAGAATTTGGCCTCAGCTGCTACAAACAGAAAATTTATTCATATGATTGGACTTGACAAAGATGGCTAATCCTCAGAACTGATCAACTGCCATAAAAGCAGAGTCTGTGAATTAATGTGTACATTTCATTCTTAATTAATGTCCAATAATTACATGCTAAAATTTCTTTAAATCTTCGTATCTTTAGAAAATTTATCTCCAAACAAGGTTCTGTGTGAAAAATCTAGTCTCAAAGTCTGCTTTTCTAATCAAATTTTCCAAACGTACTTTTGCATGTGAAAGTCATATGAAATACAGAAAAAGAACCCTGGTCTAGCACAAATAGTCAAGAATAAATAAGCTTTCAACCCCTATTTGTCCTAGAGATTGTCTTTCTCTAGCTGTTATTGATACTACACTTCTGAATGCCACAGAGTCAGGATCATTTTCCTCTTTGCTGCAGCTCTCCATACAACCATGCTCCCATTCAATAGAACCAGGGGTCTCTAGCCATCTTCACCTCTAGTGTACTTACTTCATAATTTTGTTACTATAAATGAGATTTCCAAAGTCTGGAGCTAGGCTGAAACTGAAAAAAAGTTTAAGATGTTGTTCTTAAATGCAAAGTACAAAAACTTCAGTCTGAAAAACTGTCAAGACGTCCTATATTTGGCAAATATTTTGAAGGTTCTACTGTTGAAATGAGGATTTATACTTACCTGTGGCTGTTTCAGTGATAAAAATTAACAAAAAAACCATGAGATTCATTTCCTTGAGTTACTTCTCACTTTTTCTCCAGAAAAAATGAAACTGAGTTCTTCTCGGTCACACTGAAAGCCTAAGGAAAATAGACTCACAGTTCATCACAAGTGCAATGAAACAGACCTCTCTGAGCACTGTGAGAAGCGCAACTAATGCCCATTATTGAAGAGGGCCTTTCAAATGGAAAGTTACTCATTTTTACCATAACTGGTATTCTGAGGTAATGTTTTTCTACACAAGTTTTATTTCAAATTCAGAAAACAATGACGGGTTTCCTTCCTCCATTTTCAAGATCACTTAATGTCCTTTGTATTCCTGATTAAACTGACAGTCTTTGAGGAACATCTACACTTGGATTCCAATCCAGTACAGTGTTTTGTGGTGGGTTTTTTTTCCTACAAAGAGTATGGTATTTGCAAGACAAGACCTTACAGAAACACAGCTAATAAATTCCCTTATTTTCCAGGAGAATAGCACAACATTGATAGATCAGACATTCAGGTGTCTTTTTAGACTGCTGGAAAACAGTGAAATCTATAATTTTGTCTTACATTTTAATCTGTTGAGCAAGTACGTACCAACTGAGAATGCTAATGTTTTCATCTGGGGGCAAACAAGGGCAGAGCCAGTCCTATGACCATGCTTCAGTTCTGCTTACAAGGCAGAAAGCATAGATGCTGATTTCAACCAATACAAATGCCCTTAGTCATCAACCTAGTCATCAACCTGAACATGCACGTACAAATATGACGCACTCAAGAGAGATTTTTCACCCACAGCTATCAAAAGTAATCTCTTTGAGCATCCCATTTATTTGTCTTTTCAACCTAAAACTTCTGCAATTTGAGAAGATACATACTTACTGTTGTAAGACACTCGTCTGAAATTTACAGCCAGAAACTTCCTGTGATATAAAGAAGCAGGATGAAGTAGACTATTGCATTTCAAGTAATACTCCAGAATGACATCAAGACATGTAGCTGCTCTCCTCTCATGTAGCTGCTCTCCCCTCAACTCATTACAAGTGTGCCATCATCCCATAAATGACTGTAAGAAAATGAAAGAACTATTTCACATCCCTTTTTTTTCAGACTGACTGGTAGACAGATCCCAATTTAGAAAGCAGCAGAGAGTTGGGTGCTGAATACTGCAACAAGCAACTTTAAGGGGCCATGCACTCAGATCTGGTTTTGGTTCCTTTCTGTACATGGAGAATCAAACTATTATATTTTATAGGAAAAAAAAAAGAAGGGTCTCTCTGTCTTGAATTTTCTTTTCATTTTCATCCTTTCACATCTACAACAAATACAATTGTCACAGACAGTGAAACCATGATCCGCTATATTAAGATAAAATTACATATCATCAGATTTTAAATTCCATTCTTCATTGGCACATCACATCACCACAAAATTGATGTTTTGACAAATGCACAGTATAGCCTTGAGTCTTGGAACAGAGATTAAAGAACAAAGTCTGATCCAAGCTACTTAGTAATAACTGGGTTTGAGATACCTGACTACAAGTAACAAGTAAAATACACCACCTTAGACTTCATCTTATGCTGCTGTTGGACCTGATGAGTTTGTCCAGGCTAGAAGTATTTTTACTTGAGCCATATGGTTGGAAGTACTCTTCAGTGAAACACCAGGGAGGAAAAAAAAAATGAAATAATTTAGGTAAAATTCAACTACAATAAATATTCTTCAAGGAACAGAATAAGGTCTTTAATTTTCTGAAAGGAATGGGGAGATAATATAAGGACAATGATTATCTTTCTCAGGAGTACAAAAATATTCAAAGAGCAAAATAGCAGAGGATGAGAGATTCAAAGACAAAAGTTAAAAACGACACAAAGTTGTCTGTAAGGTGTCTAAAGGAGCAGCAGCTTCAAGCATGTTTTTCAAATTTCCCACATGTTTAAAGCTACAGCTGGATTTCCAATTATAAAAACAGTTCTTAGAATCATTGTGCCATCTTGAACACATTAAAATCTTAAAGCAAACTCGAGCATTTCAAATTGTGCAAACTGCATTAACTCTACGTTATGAAGTAAACAGGCTGATACACTGAGATGTTTTGGTCATATAACTCATTTTGATAAACACTTTTGGAAACTGGAATTCGTCATCCGAAGGATTGTGGCATTCTTAAAACAAAAGCAAAACAAACAGCAACAACAAAACAGACCCTTCTGAACCTCAGACTGTTTGAACAAATGTCTGGTGGACCAGTGAGGAGGCCACTAAGCTCACCTGTTTCAGGAAGGCTTTTTGGGGAATGTCAGTCTCTTTCACGCGTGACTATATAGCGCCACAATTCACATAGGATTCATGAAGAGAAAGGATTTAGCAAGCAGTTATCAGAACCTTGGTAGGTCTAAACACCATTCTGTCAAAAAAAAAAAAAAGATATCGGTTAAAACGAAAATCCACCTAAATTTCCAAACAAGGTAAGTGTTTACTCACGACGCAGGTTGACAGTGGATGCAGAGATAACCTTCCAAACGGCAGGCAGTTACAGGCTACACTCACAAACCTTCTGAATTCAGCACTGAAACACAGTGATCTCGCAGTGAGTCAATACGAAAACAGCCCAGACTGAGAAACCTCCCGAAAAAGCAAGAGTGGAATTATCACTTTTTTTTTTTTTTTTTTTAAACTGTTGAACACAGGGAGGAGAATGGAAAAGGCAGAAGTGAGATTTTCACTTTTACTTGTATCGCTCGGAAAAGTACCAGCAATTTCTGAACGTGAACTCTTCTAAAGGAAGCATTTGACAAACTCACCCTACCCGCCAGGAGCCCGCGCAGCACCGCCCCTTCCTGCGTGGGGCAGCGGAGCCTGGCAGGAGGCGGGCACCTCCCGGTTGAATTGGAAGGCAGCGGCCGGGGCAGGGGCTGTGGGTTGTGGGCTGGGATTACCTGGCTTGGAGAGCGCTCCCAGCTACCAGCTGCTGCGAGGTGAAACCTGGAGGTGGGCCCTCGCCTGCAATTGGGGCGAGACGGGCTGTGTCAGGAGAGAGGGGATTCCCTCTCACAGCCTTTACGGGAGGGGAGGGTGCAAGGTGATGGATTCGGTGCTTTTGGGTGGAAACACCTCTTCCTCTGCTCTTTTGCTGAAGGCTTGTGGCAGGACTGTGTTCTGAGAAGTGTGATGAAAGTAGGATGGAGCTTCAAGAGTGTGCATATCAGGCTAAAAATAGCAGCTTCTATCTCTGCTACGACTTCCATCCCCCCTCAGTGGCCAATTGAGGATGAGAGTGTGCTAAGAGATAAACAATGAAGCTGATATGCTGCAAAAAGATATAAAAAAACACGAAGCCTGACAAATTACAATCTGCAGGAAAAGGCAAAATGTACTCCTGTACAAGATTCTCCTGATTTCAGAGCTGTTCCTTCTGTCCCAATGTCCCCTTTGGGGGTGGAATGACGCAAGGTTTCGAGACACAAAACATCTCTTAATTCCATTCCTCTGAAAGGAGCATGCACCCCTAAGCAAGCCTCATGCCAACAGCTGACTCTTTCTAGGCCAGATGCTCATCTGTTGAAACTATGGTTCCATCGAGGATTTCTGAAAGCTGTGTTTCATGTTTAAGTGTTGTTCCTGCATGAGTGTCAGCACTGTTTACTTCACACCAATAGTTTGTCTGATACGTACTGAGTGATGACTTGATCTGCTTCTAAAGGAAGTCATTTTGACTTCAGCAGAAACAAATTCATCCCGTCAGGATTTCCTTTTTTTGTATTACACTGCTCATCTTCAGAAACCTATCTGGTAACAGCCTCCCTATTTCTGTTTTTATTACTTTTTAGCCTTTTTACAGAATTTCCCAGTAATGACAGGAGATGTCACTGTGAAAGTGAAAGGGGTAAGTTACTCTAAACAGGGAGGGTTTCCGCAGAGCTGGCATTTTGCAGATTTTGCTGCTGAGATGAAGCTGAGAAACTCTGCAGAGTTTTGCTGTCTCACCTCATTAGTTTTCCTCATCAGAGATTAAGACAATCTATATATAAACACAATCAGACTGTTAGACAATGTAAATCAGAACTTTAGGAAAGTCAGCTGAGAATCTGACCCACTGTAATTACTTCTAAATGTGCATACAATATTTCACAGTGTTTGTTGTTCTTAAGGCTCAGTGCTTGATTTTAAAACTTAAAAGAAATATACCATAACATACATATACTGTAATAATTTTACATTTTACAGCATATACTGATAATGATTTTAAATGAGTCTGAAAGCAGTTTAGCAGACTAGGAACTGGTAAAGTTAAATGTCATCAGCTATTTACTTTGACAGGATAAAACTTGATAGTGATGGTTCAGATACTTCTGTTTTATTCACTTTGTACAACAATATTTTCCATGAGTTGTTCTCATATTCATTTGCTTTTGAAATACTCTGAAGTTTCTGAACTTTCAGCTGCATTGTGGAAAGCTCTGCATTTCACCTAATGTTGTAGCTAGCTTTCTGTGTTTTGTGAATGGACACATAATCAAGCCTACAGTTTTTCAGTACAATTTTTAATGGAGAAGTAATAGGTTTGTAATAGCAAAGTAACTCAGCTGTGAAAATAACTACAGCTCAGTGTGGCATGGTGAAAATGCCATGATGAAAATGGAAGTTCACGCTGATATTGAAAATAAATTTTTCTGTGAAGCTCCACCAACGAGTCAGCCCTAGCTGATTACCCTTTTCCATCCACCACACATTACGAAAGCGCTAACTGAAACTGTGAAACCGATCCTTTGATAAAGAGCAACACATCCAGCTCTTGTAACCACAGACTAAGATTGTTCTTTCTTCTAACTGGTAGCACTTTTAAGCTTACTTCTGCCATCTCTGCACATGAGCTACATTAATTCTTAGCTGAGCATTAAGTTATATTCCAACATTTTTTTTATCATTACCTATCCCTCATGTCAAAAAGCAGGTTCCCAACTGATCATATATCTGCAGGAGCCTCGTAAGTTTTTCAGAAGTTTTAGAATATGCAGGCTGCATGTTTTTCAAACTTCCACAGCTTCTATGGACAGCATTTGACCATCTGTCAGTGAAAACTTTCTCCTAATTTCTAATAGAAATTTCCCATGTTCTAAGTTATCATTTGCTTTTTTTTTTATCCCATTCCTATGGTCCATCATTTTTCTCTACCTTTCATACAGATTCCTGTAAACAGAAATATGAGATCTTGTTCTCTCCTTCAACATCCTGTGCTCTTGGAGGTGTTTCCCTGCACTCACTCCAGTATGTCAGCAGTTGTCCTTCTTTGTCACAAAGCACACTACTGACTCAAACTCACCTCAGTGTCCATCAGGACCTACAGTCTTTACAGCAAAGCTGCTTTGTACTGAGTTGATCCCTGGGCTGTATTGCTGAGTGGGAATTTTCCAACATAGACACAGCACTTTGCGTGTTTCTTGGGTTGAACCTTGTTGATATCACTGTTCTGTTGTAATGCAAAATAGCAGCCCTGATCTCCAATGGGTCAATAATCTCTTCTTGGATTCATTTTATGTCTGAAAATCTGTTTATATGATGATCTGTTCCATTTCCAAGGTCATTCATAAGGAGACTCAAGAGTATTAGTACCAAAATTAGGTCCCAAAGGATGACACCAATAATTTAATGTGAGCTGAAGTTTGTGTGCTGATCACGATCTCTTGATCCAGCATAAGATTTCATCCCACTGTTTTTCCACTCACTGTCCACTTACCTGTATATCACAAACTGAGTACTTGTCAAAGCCTTTCGCAGCTCAAGAGAGCAGCATCCAGTGTTCTCTCATTGCTCACATTGTGGCTGGAGATGGATGTTATCCCCTAAATCCATACTCTCTCTTCCTTGAGATCTTCCATTTCAATATTTTGAAAGGAATATTGCTTCATAATCTTCCAGAGGCAAAGATCTGTAAAGGCTAGAAATAGTTTTATGGAATAGATCTATTTCTGACACACTAAAGGATCAGGAACAAGTATAATTTTTCAACAGAATATATCAGTTTTACAAATGCATAGAAATATAGAACGTCTTGGGTTGGAAGAGACCTCAAAGATCACCTGCTTCCAACTCCCTCCTGTGGGCAAGGTTGACAGCGACCAAATCAGGCTCTAGATCAGGTTGCTCAGAGCCTCATTCATCCTGGTAATGAATATCTTCAAGGAGAGGGCATCCACAACTTCTCTGGGCAGTCTGTGCTAGCACCTCACCACTTCCTCAGTGAAAAATTTCCCAGTTTCACTCTCTCAGTAAAAAATATTATCATCCAAATATAATTTTGTCTGAACACTTCACACAAAGGACAAATATATGTATATGTATATGTATATGTATATGTATATGTATATGTATATGTATATGTATATGTATATGTAACTACATTCTAATTGCTGTCTGCAGATCGCAGAGTGGCAGAATCACAGTATGGCTGAGGCTAGCAGGATCTTCTGGGTCCAACCCCTGCTCAAACAAGGCCAGCCAGAACAGGAGGCCCATGACCATGTCCAAACTGAATTATCTCCAAAAATGGAATTTCCACAGCCTCTCAGAGTGCCCTATGCCGGTGCTCAGACACCACACAATTATTATAGTTTATATTGACAGGAGCTTGGAAGTTACCAAGATCTTCACCGCTGACATCAAGAAGTGAACAAAGTCAAAGCTCATTCCTGATTATTACATGTCACATGCCAAGAAGACTCTTCTGTTCTTTTAAAACATAAGAGGGTCAGCACCGAATTCTCAGTGTCAGATTCTGAGCTGAGGTATGAGTACCAGGACATTATGTATGTACACCCTGAAAATTTCACTGTGTCTATTTCTAACAGTATTTAACTGATTTCTAGTTCTCCACAATCTTTTGGTAACTGTTCATCCACTAGATGTCATACTGACTCTTCTCTATTAATAAATGAAAGCAAATTGGTTTCCTGATTCACTTTTTCAGTGGTACCAAGAATAGGGAAGCATAGAGCAGAAGCTAAAGGGCATTAAATCTCTAAGTGAAATTTCTAATTCTACAACAAATTTTTTTGCTGTTTAGTTTAAGTTTTGAGCATCCAAAGGTTTATGAGCTTTTTATAGAGACATAAGAGATTTTTACACAGGGCACACTTCCTTTTCATTATTCCAGATTGCCTGGTGTAGTTTCTATGTATCCAAGACAATATGAAATATAAAAATGCCAATTTAGCTACTCACTAGTTGTGTGTGTTGTAAAAGAATACCACAGTTCTACAACTGTGATAATATTTGTAGAAAAAATATTGAGTGTGTATCTCTGATTTTTCCACTAACCACCAAGGAATATAAAAAGAAGTGACGACTGCATTTCTCTGCCATTACTACAGTCACATACTCATCTCTAAGCTCAGTAAAAGGTCTTTGCTACTCTCAGAGTTTACCTCTTTTCTTTCTTTAATGCAGGTAAACCACACTTAGAGTTCTTGAGCACTTCTGGTATTATTTCCTTATATTTTCTTTTTGTTAGCCATGAAGTTTGATGCAAAAGAATTGCCACCACAAGAGCCAATTAGTGGGTTTATTTTTCACCATCCTGCTCACATAGTTTATGTTCAGAAGTCAGTAAGAAATCCCCTGATTTTAGAACAGCCCAGTTCTTTGTTGTCACTCTGCATTTCCTCTTGTACCTTCTCTTCCACTTCTCCTTCTCAGCTCCAAAATTCAGTTATCATCATTCCTTCCTTCCCACTTGACATCCTTTCTTCCTTACTTGTAAGTACTTAGAACACACATTCTATTAAAAACTGATTTTGTCTTCATTTTGAAAGGGAATATTTTGTCCTCATCGGAAGTTGCGGTAAAAGATTTTCATAGTGAAAACAGCTGCCCATCCTGCCTGTATACATGCCTTAATACTGGTATTCTTTCCATGGGAAGAAATGGTACTGTGACAACCATTTAAACCTTGACTAAGTCTGTAATAAACCAAATCTCTTTGGTGGGCACAAATCCATTCTGTGGAGCTTCCAGAGAGATGGTGACATGTATCTAGAGGGATATTTAGGAACGAGTCCTAGTGCTGAGTATGATCTAACAAGAGAGTGATAAAATACAGCATTAAATGTTTTACAGTTGTGATGAAGTGAATAATCAATACATGAGCACTTGAAAATATAATAAATCAGAGAAAAGCTGGTTTATTTCCCATTGTCTTTTTAATGTCATGTTGAAAAAATATCAACACATATATTTCACATATAGTCTTCCTACTCCAACAGCTATCCATAAGTCTGAAATTCCATACTCAATGAAAATCTACACTGTACAATAAAAGGATGTGGTATCGTAAGACGTTCTAATTTTCACTTTTCAAGTCCATCTCTATAGTTAACTGAAGCTCAAAACCAGGTCTTCTCTGACTAAAAATAATAATCTGTATTTAAGAAGCTAAAAAGATTAAATTTCCCAAGGATATATGCACTAAAGCATGCTTTGTTCATACATTCCTGCACTCAGAAGAGATTTCATTCTGATCTTTGCATCTCAGGATATTCTCTGTCAGAACAAAGTATAACCAGGAATAAGATCAAAGAAGGGGGAAGAAGAAGAATATTGGCAATAATAAAATTGCAGTAAGTCTCTATCAGTAGCTTAAATGAATGCTATCAATGTACAAAATAGTAACAATAGTTATAGCACAGACTATCATACTTGATAGATCTAAAATACTGCTACTTATAAGAATTTAAATATGTAGCAGCTTTCAAAACAAAATCACTTTCTTATGTCTCTATAAAATAATTTCTCCTTTTGTGAGTTTCACTTTTATGTATGAATATATTTAATATATATTGGTCTATCAGTATGTATACGTTTTCCTTACACTGCATTTCTAATAAATCCTGTATTCACATTAGTCTCCAAAGAGCCTCTCTTGAAGCATCCCTACTAAGGATAGATTAAATTTCATGGTATGAGTAAAACTACTGAATCAAAAAGGTGGATAAAGTGAAGAAAACCACATGATACTTTCCAGTCAAATAGTACAGAAGGCGTTTATGTTTGATCAACTGTATTAGAGAGATAAAGTAAATCTACAGAATATTCAGAACTAAAAAATTCAGTAATATGTACAAGTATATATGGGAAGGGCATGGATAGATTCTGTTTCCTGTGACGTGCAAAGTTCTGTTGTCTGCCTGGAATGATTCATTTACAGAATTCTCGAACTTCAACAAAATTCCCTCAGCTCCTAGACCTGCTCCATTCATTTCCCTTATCATTACTCAACTGAGTGGCTGAAAGATGTGGGGAAAAAATGCAGAACAGGTGTCCATGATGCAAAATAATGTACCTACTGATAGCAAAAAGAGAATCATATGCTGATGGTTCACCTTGATGAAGTACCAGCATTTTCTTGGGCAGACTGTTCACCCAGCATTAGCTGGGTTTGAGGACTTGAATGTCACTGGCATGTGGTACCTCACATGTTTCCAGAACTTTGAATTGGATGACTGTGGGTGCACAGTGTGCTGCTCTTTCCATTTGACAGTACCTTGCCGCTTGATGATGTACCTAAGAGATTCCTGAAGATTCTCATAAGTCCCCATCTTCTCCATTTCCAGTAGGATCACCTTTGTATCATTTTGAATGAGGGCATTGTATAAAGCAATATGTTGATCATAGTTAAGTTCTTGACAGTTAATCAGCTGCTGTGTGAGAAGGATGATCAACCGTCTGCTCTTCTGTATCCTCTTCTCAATTGCATTCGCTTTATCTAGCAATGCACACAAAAAAACAAGAAGACTATGAAATTTCCTTCATAGACTCTTTTGTATAAGCTCTTCATTTCTTTTATTTTGTAATTAAAAATAATCTTTGTATCACTTCAGTCAGGTACAGTTTATACATTAGGGGGAAAAAAAAAAAAAGGCTTAAAAATCTCACAGTAATCAAAGTTTCCTTTCAGGTGTTTTCTTTAGTTGAAATCTTAATGTTTGCACTGCTCTTCAGAACTATGAGGAATTTCTAATTCAACTGGTCAAGTTCAGAAGATCTTGCACCATATTTGTGCTTGAACAGTAATTTCCATGTAAGAAAGTATATTCTTAAGTTTTGGGCTTTATGGATTGATCCTGCAGTACTTACACATGAAAACTAATCTTTTGGAGACCTCATTGTGGCCTTCCAGTAATTTAAGGAAGCTATAAACAGGAGGGGGAATGACTGTTTACAAAGGTAGATACTGATAGGACAAGGGGGAAGGGTTTTAAACTGAGGCAGGGGAGGTTTAGGTTAGATATTAGGAGGAAGTTTTGCACACAGAGGGTGGTGACACACTGGAACAGGTTGCCCAAGGAGGTTGTGGATGCCCCATCCCTGGAGGCATTCAAGGCCAGGCTGGATGTGGCTCTGGGCAGCCTGGTCTGGTGGTTGGCGACCCTGCACATAGCAGGGGGGTTGAAACTAGATGATCATTGTGGTCCTTTTCAACCCAGGCCATTCTATGATTCCATGATTCTGTGATTTCAGTGACTTACTTCTAAGAAGCTTATTTTCCTTTAGAGGGTGTGCTACTATCCCTAAGCCATAGAATGCTGATTTATATGCAAGCCTGTGCAGTGGGCTGGCATCCTCTCAACATTCGTACATCAGCATGACTAAAGGTGTTTTGCTTTCCCTCTGCAATGTTAGAGACTGCTGATCAGTCACAAATAGAACTGTGGTGTTGGGTGCTATACTTAGAAACCTCAAGAACTGGCACACTGTGGGAGAAAGTTCTAGATAAGGAAGGGTAAGGAAGATAACCCCTTGAATGACTCCTCTGACCTATTTATTGATGATGAGAGCATGCTCTGCTAACGATTTGCCTTTCTGGGAGGTTCACTGTTTCTAATTCCTTTCATTTTCTTCTTTTTTTTCATTAGATTTCCGTAGTATTAGAACCCAAATAATAGGTCATTTGGAAGATGAGAAAAACTAAGATCAGCAGCTATTTGTATATATTTTGGTTCCATAAATGTAAGGGTTTAAAAATATATATTGGGTTTGAAGTGCAGTCCACTGAGCTCAAGACTGAAAGACAATGCAACTTTGGAGATCTTTAGTTCTGCATTTGGATTTCTGATGCCACACTTATAGCAGTGTTGAGGATGGGACTGCAAATACTTCAACAGTAGAAATCAGTATAACATATTTCATGGATATCAGAAGTTCATATGAATTCAGAAAGTGGCAGAAAGCAGTGTGAAATTAAAAAAAAAAAAAAAAAGAAGAAAAACATCAGCTGTTACAAATAGAAATTCTAGCATCTGAAGTCCACAGACTGCTGGGAAAGTATACTAGGTGAAGTATTATATAAACCTGCCCTGTTCTTAAGGTCTTTTCCAGTCATTTCCAATGGTCACTGCTGATGGTAAGACAGTTGGTTGCATAAAACATTCATCCAGTGAAGTATGATCATTCTTATGTTATTTTCTCATGTTTCTGTCTATTACTGATACAGCAGTTCTGGCAGTGCTTAGTCAGATTCTGTGTCAAGGAAAGTGGCTGACAAGACAATGAGACTGTGAAAAGAGTGGAACAGAAGGTAATGGTGAAACTTCTTGGCTTTTTTGCAAACTTGTGTTTGTACTTCCCTGGGCATCTGTTAAGTTGTAAAAAATTCCCTAAATCTATAAAACTAGAAAACAAAAATAATGTAAATTAAGGAAAACCAGTGGGAGTCCAACAGCTTTACAGCACTGTTTATCACTTGAATTCCTTGTATAGGTTTTCATTACTAGAATAGCATAAAATTAAAGCTCTCCTCTGGAACCAAGAATCAAAAACAATTCTTGAAACAGTAATTCCATTTCACATCCTCACTGTATTTTTTTTTTTTTTTTTTTTTTTTCTGGAAATACACATAATTTTCCTGGGAAAAAATATGATTCACCAAATGGTAATTTACATTTTCAGGAAGGATCACAGTACCTCCAAGTGGCATTTGCTGTAAATACTCCTGATTTACTCTGTGGTTAGGATATTTTAATTATAAAGTTTGGGATTTGGAAATCTGGTAACAAAAGGCTCAAGATCTGAAGGTAATCAAGAGTGGGGAGTATTTGGTAAAGTAAATCTGTCTGAAATCAGAGAATTTTTAAGCGCTCTCCATGACAGACTGATTCTGAACTTTTCCACACAACTGGAAATATTTAGAGGCATGAAAGCAGACAAGAAAGGCAACTGCAGAAGGCAGGGAATGTAAGCATGGAAAGGAAAAGGACAGTGATCAGTGCCAGCCAGGGAAGGATGCTCACGTCTGCTGCTTTGATGGCTGTAAGTGAATTTGGTCTGGTAGTTGACACCAGCAATACTCTCCCTTATCAAATTAAGAAGGGCAAGAGCTGCCTTGGCCCAGAGCTCACATATTGATAGCCAGAAGAACCAGGTCCCCTATCTGCCAGTACCTAGGATTGAAGAGAGGGAAGGGAGATCTCTGTGGTGCCAGACAGCAATGCCCCTTGGGCTCGTGCTGGGATATCTATGCATTTGTGCTTAATACAGTAAAAAAATAAAAATCATTCATCCTTTTCATTGTTGTCACAATTAGTTTTGTTGATATAGTTGACACTAACTTTATGGCAGTTGTAATTCTTTAATTGTTAAGAAATTTTAAATTTCAAAATTATAAAAAAATCTGATAAAATCAAATGGGAAAAAATATATATAAAAACTTATTGTCCTAGGCAGGTTTGGTGAGTCTTCATTGTGCTTGGGTTACAAGCATCCACTAATGCATTTGCAGACTGAAAATATCTTGGTTTTCAGCCAACATATTAGAGCCCCTGTTAGTCCCACAGTTTGTACTTCATTTTCATACTATGCTCTGTTTTCTCCAGGAAGGTTTGAGAGTAGTGTCTGGTGAGAAAATACTGCCCTGTAATTACCTGAACAAACAATTATTTTGCCATTGCCATATTTGTGAGTTTCATTGTTCTGGATCAGGTATGTGAGGTATAGCCTGCTTCAGCAACTCTTGAAAGTGTCTTCATTCTCATTGCAGTGGCTTTATCTCAAGGCCAGGCAAAACTTTTGTTACTCTCCAGAAAAGAAGAACATCAGTGATCTTGGCTCAGCTCTGAGCAGATGAGTCACACCTGGCCCAATGCAGATGATTTGGGGTATGTTTAACTCAAAATGAGATATCTTTGGCTTCATGCCTCTTTCTGATAAAAAAAAGAACATCTGGCCCATAGAACACCGGAGCACAAGACACACAAGTCAGCTCTGGCGGAAAGTAGATAGCACCTAGATTACAGCTGATAAGAGAGGTAGCATAGAGATGTCCACATGAAAATTAACACTGATTAATTAACAAGATTCCACTTCAGAAAACAAGGAACTGGATGTAAAGAACACAGAATGTCTCTTGAATTGCGCTGGGAATTGTATGAAGTGAAAGTAGGTCACCTTGGTATACAGAAGCTGAACTTCCTGTATCTTTAGCACCATTGCCACAGGTTGAAAAACCATGAGTGATAAACAGCAACAATTACTCAACTTAATTTGTGGTTTTCGTCTCTTCAGTGTCTTGTAGACCTACTTGTGCATGCTTTGTCCTGATAGTGGCAATGAGGACTTGCACTATCCAAAGAGCAGGTGTACATCTGAAAGAATCACTCCCTGGGTCACATTTCCTGCATCACCCAAAAAGGTGATAAACAACTCATGCCGCACCCTATAGCTTGCTTTTCTTAGAACTTCAATGAGCACAAAGAGCCGTTGTGTCACCCTGCCTGACACATCAGACACAGCAGCTGCTGAGATGAGCAATCCGCTCAGGGATGCGAAGGGACCTCCTTTCCTTCTCTTCCACCTCGAGGGTCTAGAAACACAACTTGCTCCAACACAATAAATAATGCATTGGATTATCTAATTTGAAACTTACCTTCTCCAGGATAGGTATCTCTGCCATAAATGCATAATTTATAGCCACATTTATTTTCTAGAATATCTGGCATAATTTGGTAAACAAAATATTCTACAAAAGTAGCTTCATTGGTCTGGCTCCGGGGGTAAATAACATAGGCATCATATATCTTCCCATCTGCAAGGCAGAACAAGAGGAAAGTATATTAAGTTATCATGAATTAGAGCTGTCTATTGCAAAATAGATCTAAGAAGATTGAAATAGATCTAAGTAGATCTTGCTGCTAATCATAATGAGGTACATAAGTGAATACATCTTTGGAAATTAGAGAGTGTATACATATTTCCATGGTCAACTGTTATGTCTTATGCACTCGCCACTTTGGAGTATCTGTCCAAGCACATAGAGTAAGGATTCAGTGAAGTGGAGATGAGTATCATCATCTGTTATTTCAGCAGTATAATAAGGCTCTTAAATCAGATTTTCAACGTCAGTCAATGTTTCTTTGCAAACAATTTTGTGTATATTTGTTTTTAAAAGTGAAAACAATATTGAATTCATTGTGTATGTAATACACCACTGCAGAACCAAGACAAAAGGTGAATACAAAGCACTACCAGAGCTGTTTGTTCCTTCTTAAATAATGATTGCAGAAGTCGTGAAGAAGGAAGGATTAGGCTCAACTGGCATGTGAGTGAGTAAATAGCTGTCAGATTTATTTGTTTCCATATGATTTGTTTTTTCCTTTTATTTAAACTTCCTTGTGCAATGCTTACTCACCATCCTTGACTGAATAGGCCTGAAACAAGTCCCGATACAACAGGATGATATCGACTCGGAAAGACTGATACAGTACAACAGAGACTGCTACTGACATTAGCAGAACTAGAAATCCAGCAATCATGAGGACATTAGGACCTGCTGCTGCAAAACAAAACAAAACAAAACAAAACAAAAAAAACAACCACAAATGAAGTTTTAGCTGCAGCCTTAGCTTCTCTTATCTTCTACTGTGGCTTTAAGGAGCTCACCCTGATAAAACTTCTTCCTTCCCCAGCTGATGTATCCAGCACAGAGGCCTGTTGCACCCCTGAAGTAGAAGCGTACTAGGCAATACATACTGAATATCCACGTGTGTTGAACCTAAGCGCACTAAATACCATTTTTGTATTTTGTAACATGACCAGCTGTGATGTTAAAGCATTTTGCAACGCAGCTGAGCCCAAGCCTGGCAATAGGAAACATCCACACAGGGGCAAGCAGAGGCTTGAGTGTAGTTGCACAAAGAGGATGCAAAGAAACTTGTGCAAGTAATAAAATCTGTGAGATAAGATCAGAGTATGCAAAAAAACCGCAGGGAAACAGAGTGAATCTGGTCATAAAAATAAGATAAACTACACCAGAAGCAGAGGAGGTTCCTTTCAGGGACAAGGAGCATAAAGCATCAATGACAAATAAAGAAAACTGGGAAGAAAGGAGTCACCCATTGTGATTCCAGCTTCCCTCATGGAAGAGCTCTTGAATCTGATCACCTCAGCCTCAGAGGTGAAGACTATCAGGGACAGCCACCATCAGCTCTGTGCTATCATATGCTTACAGTTTAGGATAAGATTGTGATTATCACCCTTTGAGGAAGAGCTGTACCATCCCAGAGAGCTATGTTTCTATATTTGCACATTTGTCCTCTTGTTCTGTGGTACACATAGCAGAAGTCAATCTAGATACGCATAGCCTCTAGATGTCATCTAGTTCTGCTGCAGCAAGAGATGATGGGAGGCAGAAGCAAGGTCATTTTGTACCCTCTCCAGACTAGAAAACAGAAAGCTGTATCGATCCATGGATTATTACAGCCACAGAGCTGAAGAGATTTTTGACCTGTGTTCTGGACATATTGAAATCACTCAGACTCAGTATTGAAAACACTATGAATTCCAGATAACCAAGTTTGAAATTGATACATCAAAGGATTTAATAGCAGTTACACATACAGGATACATTATTTCTTTGGATGGAAGATTAAAGTTAAATGCTTTACAGAAGAAGTCTACCCCAAAGCAAATGAGAAATACCTAATTTGATTCCTTGTGATTTTAACATGTAAATTCAGAGCAGTTCCATGTACAGTTTTTCTCTCACTGATGAACCAGTTAAGAGAGTTCCATTTGTAATCCACCTTACTTATCTATTTATTCCAGTCTATCATGATAATTTGTAATCCTATAGTTGCAGTAACAAATGATTTGGAGACTTTTCTGTTATTCAGATCACTGAATTAGCTTGGATTTAAAAAATATGTGGCCTCAGAAGAGTCAGAGTGAGTGATGGAGTTTAATCCCAAAGAGATACACATGAAAAAGAACAGGTTGTGCATCATATCTGCATAAAGGGGCCTACCTATATATTTATTTTAGTTCAGTGTAGCAAACATAGCAATTGCTTCTGAGTATTAGTAGAACCATGTATCTCTTCAGCATTACAATGGAGTTTTCAGCACGCTTCACAACATCTCAGCTACTGGAGGATGCTTACATGCGCTGGTAGCAGCTCAACCCAGACAAGCCTTATGTCTTCAGATCTGGAATCAGACCTCCAGGTCTTTGCCTCCCTCTGTCTGTGAAACACACACAAAGTACACATGGCTGCAGCAGCAGCAGGCCATTCACTGGCAGCTGAGGAGCCACATGTCACAGCATCCCTAAGAGCCAAATCCATTTCCTCTATAAAAAAGGTAGCAAGATGGACTGGAACTACTGGCAGACTGCGTGCAGCCAGCAAGCTCCAGTGGAAGGCACTGACCTTTATAACCAAAAACCAATTCTAGAGCTTCTCTCAGACTCACCCTGTTTGAATGAAATAAGATAAAATGTTTGACAGTGAAGAGCCTCTTGTATTGAAATTAACAAGTTCCTGAGTTTTGCAAGAGATCATAGAATCATCAAAGTTGGAAAAGATCTCTAAGATCATTTTGTCCAAACATCCATCTTCCACCAGTATTGTCCACTAAAGCATACTCTCACCAGAATTAAGAGATCAGGAAAAAAAAAAAAGACATTCCAATGAGATCAAAGTAGACAAGAATGCCAACCAGTTTCTTTCATAGCAAAGTTGGCAATTTTGTAGTTGTGACTGCATCCCATGATTCCTACAAAGGAACTTTGTCCATGTTCAAATGCATGGTTTGATCCATAAACTCTGAAAACCTCTTCCATGACCTACTGAGGATTATCCAAGGGACAGAGATGGTCATATTTTTCTTATTGTTTCAGTTGTTGACCCTGGGCTTGCCACAACCTTACAAATACTGTTCTCATATGTCAAGCATTTAGAAAGCAAACATAAAAGGAAACAGGTTCCAACAACAAATTTTGCAATAATGAACCTAAAAGGAGCTGTTTATATTTGGCTTCACACTGATTAGACCAATTCTGAAAAAAAAATGATAAACTTCCTGTGCTTGTAAAACTTGTATTGCTTCAGATCAAAACCTCCACTGGAGTCTTCCTGGAAGAGCAGGTTCAGTTCCCAGTATGGCTGACTCAGCCTCTCATTTCTCTGGAATAGATCAGATATATTCAGCATAATGGGGGCAATGGCCAGAAGCAACTTTTGGAGGCCTTGAACAAGGGTGATCAGATCCTGCTGTTCCATTTAACTTCACTGCAATGTTTAGTGGCAGAGAGTTCACAAGCTGCCTGTCATTTAGTACTGTTTATTTAAATTCAAGTGCAATGAGAACACAGAACTGTCAGTTCTCAGGAAACAATATTTGAGACGCTAGGGAAAACAACCCAGAAAAGAACATTTGAAAGCTTCTCCTGACAGACACAGGGAAAACTGCACCTTTTTGTAAGTTCTTTGGCTTCTAAAAGGAACACACTTCCAGACAGTAAAATTATAGATCTGGGTGTGGAATTCCTGCCCACACCTGTCTACTGAAGATTAGCTATAACATGAGCAAGAAATAACTTTGAAGAAGAAGAGGTCTGGTGTGCTGGGCTGAACTGGGTTAAAATGACTGGAATTTGGGGCATTCTACAGAACAAAGTGTTCACTCTGGAAGTATCTGTGGTCCCCCAGGCACTTTTCACTTTCTTGCAGATAAGAACTGAAATAAGACAATGCTTGTAAGTCAGACCTATGAAACGCAATCATCAGCTATTTAACTATCCCTGAGTGAAGATGAAGAACTAGAAGCCAGTAGTGGTTTAGATATTAATAAAAAAGTGGCACTTGGGAGATATTCTGACAGCCCCTGTATCTCTGAGAAGGAAGATAAAGGTAATGTTGAAGGCACATTCCTGTTTCTGTCTGCTGGTAGAAGGAGTTAACATTTCCAGTGTTTTTCTGCTTTCCATGGACTCACTATCAGAGTCTTTGCCTGTTTCCTGGTGTTCAGAAAGACTTGCTATATCCTCACAGGATAGAGGAAGAAAATACAATGAAAAGTCACAAATTCCTTATGCTGACCAGAGACTGACACCACGTAAGAAATTAAGCAGATGATCCCTGAGATCAGGAGATGATGTGTCTTGTGGCAAAGATGGAATGTAAAATATGGGATGATCACCAACTCTGGAATTAAATATGGGAGCATAGAACTAAAAGAGCTGGAGGAAGTAAAACAGCCTGTGTCATAGGCTAATTCTTTAAGTTTGCCTCCAGAAGTATTATGAAACATAAAAAATGTGCTTTGTTTTTGGTTTTGTTTTTTGGGGGTTTTTTGTTTTTTGGGTTTTTTTTTTTTGGAAAAAGTGTTGGTGAAGGAGTCAAAAGATACCAAGCAGACTTGGGCAAAGAGAAGAGAGAAAGGATGGGAAATAACATTGAAGGAAGGGTTTCATATTGACCAGGGATGGTCAAAATCTAGGGGTTGAATGAGAAAAAGCAAAGAAAGCTTTTCCTCAGCAGGAGAAGCAGCAGCCTCTCAGTGTAACAGTCTGTAATTGAAAACCACAAAATCACACCAAGCACTGCGTTATTCCTGAAAACTGAGGTACTTGGATCATGCTGCTCATTTCCAAAGAATCATATGAACATAGAAGCATTAAGGTTGGAAAAAAACACCAAGATCATCAAGAGCTTCTCTTAGAGCTCTTATCTCCTACTTAAAAACACAAGAGAAAAAAAAAAACCAAAAAACAAAAAACAAAAAACACAACCTTGGGACATACTCTTTTTTCACCATACTGCACTTCTCTTCACACACATATATGAACATATGCATAAGTGCACAGCACACATCCTGAATCAAACATACGCGTTTTTTCCTGTGCTTTGTCAGTGACGTTCTTTCCTGGCAATATTAAGGAATGTTTTTGTTTGCCATAGAGACAAAAGCAAACAGCTCTCACCACCCTTGGCTGTGATAGAAGCTTTTCACTCCTCTCTGGCAATTTTTCATTCTTATGTGGATGGCAATTGTTATCGAAGCAATCTAACAAAATCAGCCATAAAGATACTGCTAACAATGAGCTAGTGCTTGCAGTACTTGATTATGACTCAGAATGTTAGATTTAATCCCCTTGGATCATATCCTTGGAAAATATCTTGTGAACCAAATCATTCATTCAGCACATTTTTGATGACTGTGAGACTGAAGCGATTCAAATAGAGTAACTGATACAGTTGCCTATAGCATCTTTGCTTCTTCCCTTAACCTGTTATCTCTGCTGCTATTTAGCTAGTTCATAAAATGCCCCCAAAAGTGATTAATTTCAGTAGTAAATGAAAGAACATATGCAGATCTCTTACTTCCTATCACAGGCTTGTGCTACACAGAATAACAATGCAATCCAAACTAAATGCTTTAGGGAAAAACTATCAGAACATAAAGCAGGAATGTGTGGAAAGCACACTGATGGACAGCAGCTAGGAGACGTGAGTTATTTACACTGTGGGAAAAACAAAGGAACAACCATAGACATATTTTAAAAAATAAAAATCTGTGTTTTTTTTTTTGTTGTTGTTGTTTTTTTTTTTCATTAAAAACAGAAAGAAGCAAAAAAGAAGAGTACACGTTTTTATTACACGTTTACAAGAAGTGAGGCACAAGGAATCCCTGAGGCATTTTTATTTTACTCAGAGGCAAGCTATCATTGTTTTAGCACAAAAATTGCTGGTCTGTGAGAGGAATAAATAAAGACAACTGAAGCAGAGCACTGCCATTTCTGGATTTAGTCTTGCTCACATCAACAGTGACGAGCAGCAGAAGCAGGCATCTTGACAGTAGCAGCAACAGGGAGAAGGGAATAGACATCCACACAACACAGGCAGCAACAAAGAGCTTTCCTGAACATTTACTGAGGACCTATGGATAAAAACAAAATAAGGTTTGTGTGAAGCAGAAATCAGGTTTAATGAATCACTTCATGAACACAAAATAACAAGTACACTCATTCCTGTCCCTCATCTAGTTTGCAATATGGGGTCAGTAAGTGTTTTCCATTGCCTACCCTACAGCTAACGGGAAGTGTTACTTAGTTTCCTTCCCCTTCTTTGCAAGAACATTCCCACAGATAATTCATCACAGTGCTGATATGTTCTCAGCTTCCAGAGAGGTGCTAAACTCTCACTCACCTGGCAACATACAACCAAAACATTCCCTCTCACGCTCCTCTGGGGAATTCTGGAATGTCCTCCTCAGTGATGCCCCCTCCTCTGCTACCCTTCTAATCTCGGCTACAAGGAAATGTGTCTCTACTTGAAGGCAGTTATGAACAGTGAAAAATACTGCAAGACATGTAGCTACGCAAATGCTGTGATCAGAATAAACTTTATTTTACTCTTACCACCATTCTCTCTTAGAAAATGAATCCCTCTTTAAGGGCTATGCAGTTTACTCTCAAGACCTTTGGTGGCTCAGCACATTTAAAGGGATAACAGAGGAAACCACTGACCACCATTTCTGCCAGAAAATTCAAATGCTGTGGTGCAGCAGCAGTGCCTTTTGGGGATTTGACCATCCCCATTAAAGAGTCCTATAACAGATAAAGACCATCTCAGACCCCACCATTTACTGAACTTAAATTTTCTTTCTCTGTCAGAAATGACTGGAACAATGAATTTAAAAATGGAGCTGAGAGGAAGCTTTCAAAGCGTTGCTCACACACCGTGTGGCACACAGTAGGCACAGTGATGTTCACAGGGAATGAACAGAAATATCCTAGAATCAGGGCATGCTTGTCACAGTGCACCATCCTGCTACTCATATTTACTCTCTTGTTGAAATTTTGCCTTCCCCCAGCAGGATACCATCCCCAAGGCTGCATTCACCCCAAGGCCTTTCACAGAGAATGAAGCCACAAGAGTTTTGCCACTGGCTTCAATATGTAGGGAGAAAGCAGATTGTTTTTTCCTTCTTACCGGGAGAAACTTTCATACTACCAGAAAATAATAAATAAAATGAAAGAAATAAAACAGGATGAAATAAGCAGGAAAAAATAAAATCACCAACATCTTTCTAATAGTGGGAAGCATGCGAGAGACAAAATGAAACAAAATTTATCCTTACATTTTTCTTTGAGTCGTAACGTCACCGTGATCCTTGTGTTTCCCATTTCATTCATGGCTACACATGAGAAACTGGACTGCAAATCCGTATGTTCTATGTTACTAATGGTCAAAGTTGCCTCTCCATAGAACTCTTGGTGCTCTCCTTCAAAACTAACAGTGAGAGAAAAAGAGGTGGTACTGGTTGCTGTTAAGAATAATTTGCATAGAAAGAAAAGATTATTACGTATTATATGCACTTACTAAATAACTTCTTGATTAATTTTTCCTTCATCTGCATATTCTGCTGGCATCTTATTCACATCCCACGTGACAACAGCTACAGGCTGCTTCTTAATCCCCAACCGGGCCTGACATTTCAGAGAGAAAGCAGCACCTAATCAAGATTGATGGAAAAGAAGAAATTTATTTTCCTGATAATATCTTTTTTCTACAAATCTTCATACCACTTTTGAGTTTTGCCTTAGCAATTTAGGCATTTCCCAAGTTAAAGCGCAGAACATGATTCACGGGAGGGTCTTGAAAAGAAATACTAAAAGGATATTTGAACAAAATATCTAATACATTAACAAAGACTACAAAATAAATTATTTATATATAACGCTCTGAAGGGAAAATAGATATTACTTGTCTAATGTAATCAGCTATTAAGGAATATGGGAAATAAATGCTGTCTTACATATAGGCATACATGGAAATAGTGTAATATAATTTTCCATATGCAGTATTAATCAAAAATTTTATTTGCAGATTCTTATCTTGGATTTTATTCAAGCTGGAAAAACTAGAGAAAAACAGGATAAAATTAAAACAGGAAATATCTTCTTATGCATTTGTTACCAGGAAATACTTATTCCAGAAATAAGAGTCACTGTTGCACTGAAGTAAATATAATTAAAACAATTTAAAGATTTCCACATTAATATGCATCAAAACAGGGCTTAGGTAAGGTTAAAACATCTTATGATTTATATCCTGAATCGGTATTAGGGAGTGTGGAGAAATCCCTTCAATTCTGCAAACAGAAGACAATAGAAATGATACAGTGCTTTCTAAACTTGAAGTACATTTGCACCATGCATTTTGAGATTAATTACTGTGTCAGAAAGGTAGGGCATTAAAGACTAGCTATCTCATTAAAGAGAGAGGTGTCTGGCACACTAATTCTGAGTGACAGAGAAACTGGAGGAAAGAAAATAAAGAACAGGAATGAGTTTCCATGTGGAAGTGTGTGGGCCCGGAGTCTGGTGCTACAAGTTATGAGGAATGAATCTGAACCTCAGAGAACATCAATAGTCTTTAACAAAAGGAAGCTAGGTGCATGTTCCAGAACACTAAGGGCTGTCCAGCCCTCTATTTGTTGCTTCATTCCCTACCCTTTCATTCCAACAAGTATCTTCCAACCAGAGCAATCCACTCAGTGCTAGCCAGCACAGGCAGGACCAGCAACCAGTCCCTTGCTTTCCTTCATTCATCAACAGAGACGCAGCTGTTGTGTCTGGACCAAAATCACAAGCAAGAAGTATTTCTAGTTGCAAGAATAGTCCATTCTTCCCTCTTAAGTGTATCATCAGAAAGTTTCAAAGGATTTAGTTACAGCCCTCTTTGAAGTGGATGGAAGCCGTCATGCTTTCGGCTGATATGTGATAACTGACCATATGAGTAATCCTAGTTTATCCCTATCAAAGTAGAATAGGTTACTTAAACTTTTAAATTACTGCTTAATTTCTAAATAGCCTATCATTTAGATATAACTTCATATCATTATGCCTGGAATGAATTAAATCTGGTAAAAATTGTAGTGCAAAAATGTAATTAACCTTCTCCCTGACGCTGCCGATGTTCGTTAGGTCACCACAAAATGCTGGTTTAAAAACAATGTAAAGTCTTTACTTACCAAGCTCCACTTCTATTACATCTTCATCTTTTGGAAATAAAATTTGAACAGGTAGAGATGAGTGCTTTTCTTTAGAGATTAAGAAGAGAAAGGAAGGACGTATTAGAAAATTGTGAAAATACATTATATGAAGTAATGGAATTATATCAGTTTGCTATGACAGTGAACATCCCTTGTCATTAGTGTTCAGAAGGAACTTCTCCTTCAATATATTTATATTTCATCTCTGGTAATTGATATGGACAGGTCCAAACTACTCTGAAACACTTGGTTTGACTGAAGGATCTATTCCCTTTGTGGCATCTTTCCTTGCCATTCAGACAAACTCTCATTTCCCAGTCGAAGCACATTGCTTGCTTCCCATCAAGGCACTTCTGTGAATCCCGTAACCACATTTTCCTATAAAATATGCAGGAACTTATTTAACTCCCATTTCCCAGGCTGCTATAAAATCCACTCTTTTTATCTATCCTGTGTCTAATTTTCATTAGCCAGATGCTGAAGAAAAAAAAAAAAAAAAAAAAAAAAAGCCAGAGAAAGACAGTAATTTCCTAGCTTGCTGACAGTGCTATGACTTTAGCTGCCAGTGTGCAGATGCAGAATGTCCTCTAAATCAGTGTGGATTTGCAAACCAGCAGGGGCACACATACGCCAATATTGACAACACATAAGAGTTTATTCATCCAGCAAACTTATTTTAAAGGCTAATGAAATCTCAAAGAAGTTGTTAGGTATTCTGAGTGCTAAAAACTGGAGCAGATTCAATTCACCCAGTTGAAATTTCACATGCTATGTTGCAATCCTTTCTTTCTATGGATTAAAAAAATAATCAAATTAGCTTTGAAATGAAGTAATCTGCCTAGATGCAACAAAGATTTCTGTAATTTTGGTCAGCTGTGTGCCAAGTAAATAAGAGTTATTTCCATTGTAAACCAAAGAGAAAAAAAAAAATGGATTAGTAAGAAAAGTTTTGATGAAAGAACATTCAAAGAAAAATGCAATGTGAAGAAGAGATTGTCATGTTGACCAACAGGGTATTTATTAGACGGAAATGGGGAAGGGAAGGCACCATATCTCCTAAGCCAATGTACTAGCTATCCCCTCAAATCTCAATTCTGACCAGCTCAGAATAGCAAGAACGTACTTTTCTACTGAGAATCAGGGCAAAAACTGTAATTGAGGCTCCACAGAGCTGGGCACAGTTTCCCACAGTAAAATGTTCTGATGTCAGACTGTGAATGAACTACATCTATTTTTCAAAGACAGCAAACAAACAAATGAACAAACTGTTTTTCTGCTGACTTGATTGCACAACTGAAGAACATTTTGAAGTCTGGTAAGTTGATACAATCCAGAACTGATGATTACTGGCATGTTCTTGCCCTGACTGACACCAAAAGAGAAGGCCTCCCTGAGTACACTGAATCTCAGCCATGCTGGCCACTTTCACATTAACAAAGATTACAGTGATTAGTGGGCTCCATTCATTTATCATCTGTGTTCTTAACTCATTTTGTCTCAGTCAACAGAAATCCAAAAGTTTTTTAACTAAGATGGACCAGCAGGTGTTGAGTTGTATGACATCTGCACATCAGCAATCCAGTGATTACCAGAAGATCCTACAGGCCCTTCCCTCACCAAAGCAATAGAAAATGAATTTTTGTAGCTCGCTTTGAAAGAGCCCCTTCATGTCAACAATACATGCTATCAGTCAGCCCTACCAACCCCAATATGCAACCAGGGTTATCGGAGACTATTACTGAAATCCTGAATGTGGTTGGGTCTGAATGTAGTGCCATCTTGCTCTATTTGGATTCCCACCCACAAAATTCACCTAAAAAAATGTTGATCTAAAGTTTCTCCAAAATACAATAGGTTAACAGAAAATATTTTTCTTTTTAATAAGTTTCCTTTTCTTTAAAGGGACATAAATCTTTGTTATTTTAGCAAGTCTTACCTTCACTTATAAAGATCCTTGTTGCTGATACATTGAACACCCTTCCTCTGTGAGTATAAGTAAACCGACAAGTATAATAACCATCATCCTCCTTATTCAGGTTTTCAATAAAAATATAAGGATCATGCATGAAATATCTCTCTCCCTGTAGAGGTTTGCAGTCCTGGAAAATAAAGCTCTCTTTGGCTTGTTGCAAATAGCTCCCACAGTAATCTGATCTACAGCTGGCACCTTTATTGTTTTATTTACCTTATACCACTGGACGATAGTAGCATTCTCATAATTCTTAAATGTCGGACAAGAAATTTTTCCTTTTCTAGTTTCATTTGCATAAAGTATCCGGCTTGGGAAACACATTCCTTGTTTGCATGGATGCACCTGAACATTCATTTTGCGCCCTTTTTGGCTCCCATCTGGACTTTAAAAATTGAATAAAGATGATTCAATGGCAGCATCATTATAGGGACTAAAATGAATACTTGTAGCAAATGCGAGTCTTGTTTTAAAAGCAAATGAGTGGTTGCTGTATTTCAGTTACACATTGTTTTAAAGGTCTGCTACAAAAATAGAAGTTGCAGAATGGAACTTAAATAAAATGGTGTACACCAAATGACATCATTTCCACAGATAACAATTAAAATGCATTTTTAAAACACATATGACTTTTTTTCCAACTCTCAATTTTTTCTCTTTCCTATATTGGACTTACTAATTTATAAGACAAGTGTAATTTCCAGAATCCTCTAAAGAAGTTGGCAGAAACCAAAGAAACATTTCTTTTGAAAATACTCGTGATCCCTCTTCTTCTTCAGGAATTCTTTTCCTTGTGTCTGTGTGATACCAGGTGACTTTTGCAGATAAATCATTGTTGGGACATCTTACAACTAAAGCTTCACCTTCAATTGCATCATCTGCAAATGACCAAAAGATAAAAATCTCAGGTGAATTAAGCCTTTGACTCACTGAAGATAGAGAAGAACTTGGCATTTCTAGATCAGTAGGCCAGTCATGTGCCTCTACCTACCATCTTCAAGCTTTCAGAGAAAATGTAAAGCAAATTGATTCCTGGTATATTCGGTTTGTATTGTTTTGTTGTGGTTTTTTTTGTGTTTGTTTTTGTTTGTTTGTTTGTTTGTTTTCAGGGAGATTTTGCTCTGTTTTCAATGCAGAAAAAAAGGAATGTTGAGAATTTTTATTTATTTTTAATGGAAGAAAAGAACTAGTGGCAGGAGGAAGGGTGTAGATAAGATTGTTATAAAGGAAATTCAGAAGATCTTGTCTAGTGTTCATGCAAAGCAAAACTGAAAGGAAGGATCTGACGGAAAGTTGAAAAGCCATCACAAAGGAATGAGTAACTTAGAAAATCAAATCACACACACAAAAGGAAAAGAAAGGATGGACTTGAGAGAAAGGAATTAAAACGTTTTTGTTTTGTTTTGTTTTTTGTTTTTTTTTATATATAAGTGAATGTAATACTGAAATGATCTGGAGAAACTTGAAACAGGCAATTTTGACAGAGATGTAAGTGTTGTGGTACCTGAGCAGTAAACTGGCTGCTGAAAATAGAAACTTCAGTCTGAAAGTCCAATTCCATTTTGGAGAAGATGAAAAAAGAAAAAACTGATGAGGATGAAATTTGGATAGGTCAGCAAGGAGTTACAAAAGATAAGGGAATAAGAAAATGAGACCAGGTAACCAAACAGCCAATGGAAACAGAGAATCTCCATCAAAAACATGACATTCTGGGGGCATATTGCCACCACCTGGCTTCAGGCATGTGGCATGCAGATCAGGTGGTGAGTATCTCTGCATGGTTAACGCTTGTCTCCTGGTTCTTTCTGAAAAGATTCTTCTCCACTGACATTACATATAGCTTTACAGACCCATCTAAATTGCCCACACCAGGTAGTACATCAGTATGCATGAACTCATCGTTCTAACAGAATTCCCACCCATGAGTCCTGCATTGCCCCAAAGGAGCAACGCAATGGAAATACGGTACTTTCAGGAAAAAAGTGAAGAGGAGGAGGAACACAGAGAAGATGAGTGGCCTCATCTAAACATAGCAATGTCAGTGAAAATTATCTTGGTGAATTCTTCAGCAGAATTTAGCCTCTCAATAAATCAATGTTGTTTGTAAAAATTAGCATTCATTCCGTAAAACTGAGAGTAAAAGGAAATATTTAGAGATAACATCTTCCTATACTTCTCAGACAATGCAGATCATCTGGAAACTAGTACTACATGTGTGCTGTATAATGCAGTGTCACTGGCAGGAAATGATTGCAGGGCCAGCAGAGCTGCTGCAACAAAGCGCATATGTGAACCACCCTGCTCAATGAAAGTTAAGTACGCTTGCTCTTGGGGATTTTGCCCAGCTGGAGCCAGGAAAAGAAGCTACTCCCAAATCCTCTCACAGAGGCTTTTCCTTCTGCCTGCAGAGATGCCAAGAGCAGAAGTAGAGCCTGGATTTAATGTCTGAAAAATGGACGGTATTCAGTGTATTTTACAAGGAGAAACAGCAACACAGAGCCAACTTCTAAACTGTAATATATGGCTTGAGATAAACTAGCCAATTGAAGTTAAAAAAAATAATCAGGAATAGTTTGCTGAATAAAATTTATCAGAAAGAATATTTTAAATCTGACTTACATGATTCTGATATCACGGAAGCCGGGAGGAAGATGGATAGGAAGATCAAATGTACATACACCATCATATTTCTAAGCGGGGAAAAAAAAACACCAAAAAAAAAAGACTATCAGAATATACTACTGATGTACATCTATGAGCAGACAACAGCATCATGCAGAGATAAGCTGAGTCACGTGGACTGCTCTGTACAGAATGCATGTGTGGGTGAGTGGCAGTCCTTCTGCAACTTTGAGATGATGCTCTTAGTTCCACGGTCAATGCAATAACTGATGCAACATTAAATCTAATGCTATCCCTTCATTTGATTTAAGGGTGGGGAAATTTCTCTGCCATGGTGGGCCCCAGATAGAAGCCTCTTCTTTCTTGGTTGTTTCTGTTTGTTTTGTTTTTCAGGAAGGATGATGTCTTGTGACATTCTCTTCACTGTCAAGAGTGAAAAATTGTACCTTAATCTAGTAAAGGACATATTTTGGATTTGAAAATACATACCTTGGCTGTGAATTAAGCTTTCATCCAATCTAGTGTGTGGGTGCATACCACCTTCTTTCTTTTGGAAAGTGGAAGTACCTTCAATGACAGCTCCTCACAGGTAAGTGCTTTGTGGCAAGAATGGAAGCAGATGAGCATCATCAACAGTGCAAACCCAAAGGGGAAAGTGAAGAAATGGACTAGAAGGGTAGGTAAAGAATATACATTGCCCTCATACAGTAGTAGTAGGACAGATTCTAGGCCCCACTGATGTTTTCATTTGTGTCTAATTGACATGCACCTGCTGTATCCAGCACCTGGGAGTGTGGCTCAGGCACACTCCAGCAAGCCACTGTATCAAGGCTACCAGCTATTGATTTACGGACACTGGTCTGGATATATTCTGTGAATATGTCAAGAGACAGTAGATAAGCAATACAGATATATTAAGGAGTCCTAAACACTTTATCAATAGAGCCTTCTCCTAAATGCTGTCTTTGCTTGCAGATTACAGAGCAGTATCTGTTGCTATCAGAGGAGGAAGGAGTGATCCCCCAGTGTTACAGACAACAAATAAGTTGTAAAGAGAAAGCAGGTTAGAAGTGAATTGTTATCTGTACTGCAGATAGCAAGCACAGGAGGAGTTGTGAAAAATAGGCAAAAAATGTGCAGGCAGGGTAAGTACTGCCATCATACGTACTGCAAGGAATTTTATTTCAGTGCCAAAGATTTCCAGACTAAACAAACATTGACAAGTCTACATCTGTGCCAAGTCTGAAATTCAGAACAAACTCAAATTTGTGCTTTCTGAAATATCATTCACTTTGTACTGATTTGGAAAACTTCTTCTTCTAGAAGCTTTAATAAACATCCTCTAATAAAACTTAGTGTTGGAAGAGAAAAGCACGAGTGTTTCAGTTTAGGTATTTGCAGGGTTCATGGAAAATGTGAAGTTTAGACCTGAAAAATCCAGCATCCCAGCAAGGCTGTTGACATGGGAAGTGAGTGACCACCCAGGACCTCCAAGAAATAATCTCTGTGAATATCTGCTCATTTCCATTGGAGCTGGAGTAAAGCACTGCATTCAAAAATGTGCAGGCTACCGACTTCTTTAATCTTAAGAAAATCTTAGACCAGTTTCATAAATATTTGGAATTACTTTTCAACATAACAAACATCAGCAGCTTTGTCCTGGAAGGAATTAACGAGTTGGCTCAGGAGAGGGTTCAGCGTGAGCTGGGCCATTGTGTGACCCAGGATACAGAGAAAATTAGCACACAGGAAAGCTCACAGCAAGAGCACAGTAAAGCATTTAGAGCAGAAGTTTTGTTTTGAGAACTTATTTCTCACACTACCAAGGAGAAAACTAGACTGGCAACTAGGAACAGGAAACTGATTTTCATGTATCCTGATTATTATAAGCCAGGATTGGGATTTATTAAGCAAATAAATTTTTGCCAATAGTTCTGTTGATCTCAAGTATAACCAAATAGCCCCTAAAGACCCAGTTTTAAAGGACAATGAAGAACCACCTTGTTGTGTTAGACGTAGTCTACCAGGTTTAGTTCCTTGCTTACCTGTCAGGTAAATCTATCAGGCTTAGCTCCTTGCTCCTCCAGAGGGAACTGCTCTAGAAATATTTCATGATATTTTTCCAAAAGTGGATTTGCCAACAAACTGTTTGTAATGCTGTTCATGTAAGTCTATGGACATGATAAAAGTACCATGTCTTGCATACCAAGAAAAATTGAAAATGCTTTTGCAATTTCTAATTTAGAAAGCTTGACATGCTTTACTACACAAAAATACCATGAAATAACGACTGTGTGGGATGATACATTCACAGAGTCTTCCCTCATTCATACTTTGAGAGATATTTCATCTCTCATCAAACCAGAGAACACATTCTGACTGAAAATGAGCCACTAAAATAGTAACAGTAACTCTGATGTGATTGCAGAACAGTCACCACAGTTGACACCTACAATAATTAAAGTTATGAGCATAAAATTTAGGAAATTCAGTATTAAAATACAGCAGTGGTTGAATTCATATATAAATTATATTTAGAAAATATTTTGAAGGAAGAAATTACATAAATATACTAAATTGCATAGCAACTATTTTCTGTTTTTGAATAACTAACAAAATTATCTGCCAGAAAGTTGAAGACAAACCCCCTTCTAAATATACTTCCTTATGGATAAGTCTATATGTTGTTTATGTTGGTCCCAAAATTATTTATCTATCACATCAGCATATCCTACATTTTGAATCTAATAATTTTTCTTGAGATAAAGAGGCACAAAAGTGAACTGAAATAAAGTTTCTTACAAAATTCTAGACAGTTTCCAGCAGCATCAGTTATTATTGGCTGAATGATAAAATATTTTACCTACCCTCTGGAAATTCACACAGTAGAGAAGTGCTTTGCTCTGGGCTGAGTCCTTTGCTTGTACCAGATTACTGGGAATGTTTTTTGACTGGCTTCTGCAGTGCATATCTGGAGGAGCAGAATTTATAGCAGCATTTGAGACACCTCCCACTGAACAGAACAGAACTTGCAAATGGCTGTAGTAGATTTCAGTGCATATCAGAGAGGGGATCTCCTAGTTCTTATCAATCAGATGCCTTTTGCCAAGGGCATCGGCTTTCTGTTAATCACAAACTATGCCATTTTATCTTGATTGTACTGCAATAAGCCTGCTGACTAATTCCTGGCTTTCTCACATGCCTTGGGAAAGCAAAGCAGGAGCCTCAGCCGGCAGAGGGTGCTTTGGAATAGGTTTTGTCTGAAAACGAGTGACAGCTTTGCTGGGGCAGCACTCCTGCAGAACAGCTGTACACATTGCTGAGGCACTGAGAATGGCTTTAGTGACGGACACTGCTTCACTGAAGCTAAACTGATAAAAGAAGGGCCCTGAAAAAGCAGATGTCTGTACCAATGGAAAGATTAGGTCTCTGAGGGAAGCAAGGCTCAAAGAGCAGAGATGTTTCACAGGAAATCCAGGAGAAGCTCTGGAAAAGGATGCAGGAGTGGGAGAAGTCTCTGCAGGGATGACAGCGGCCCAATGTGCTGTGCCTGCCATAAGCAGGTGTACAGAGGCTGTATAGGCTACCAAATATCAGAGAGACATTTTAAGAGCACTGTGAAGGACTGCTCAGCAGCCTTCCAAGCATCAGCACCAAACCTGTGCCAATCACAAAATCACAGAATAATAGTGGTTGCAAGGGACCTCTGGAGATCATTGAGTCCAACCACCAAAAGTCTCCAGCAGTGCTGTTCGTGTGTGGCAATCAGTCCACAGGTCGACCTCTGCAGTGAAAAAGCAAAATTCCTGAGGATGAATCAGCTTTGTACATCATAGAACTATTCCTGAAAACAATCTGAGAATCAGTGCTTCCTTCTTCCTTGACAGAGTTGCTGATACTCTTAGGGAACCTGCTTTGAGCCGCAGTCACAGCAGTCAGCACACAGCAAACACTCAGCAATATGTAAAGATGTGGTAATTACATGCCAGCAGGAAAAAATCTTGCCTCTGTCATACCCATGTTCTCCCCAGCTCTCGGTACATCCTTTCCTTTGAAGTGGTCTTGGGGGTTGTACTTTCCCTATTAAACAGAAAATGAAGAGTGTCATATGAACACCCTGCCACAGTGAAATATCACATTGCTTTGGTCAACCATTCAGCTCCAATAGTAGCTTGAAAAGCTGGTGACAACTCCCTGCTAAGGTTGAGGAAGTTTCATCAGCATGAAGCCCTTCTTCAATTCCTGAAGCTATTCTCTAGAGACAGGCAAGAAATGTGGGGTACAAACCATCTACATTCAGTTGAAGATTGAAGGACTTTTTAGCTTCTCATGCTGTCCTGCCAGTAAGGAGCACAGAATCATAGAACCATTAAGACTTCTAAGATCATCTAGCTCAACAGTCAGCCCATCCTCACCATGTCCATTGACCACGTCCCTCAGTGCCACATCCACACAGTTCTTGAACACCTCCAGGGACGGTGACAGCACCACCTCCCTGGGCAGCCTGTGCCACTGCATCACCGCTCTTTCTGAAAAAAATGTTTCCTAATGTCATAGAATCATAGAATCACAGAGTGGCCTGGGTTGAAAAGGACCACAATGATCATTGAGTTTCAACCCCCCTGCTATGTGCAGGGTCACCATCCACTAAACCAGGCTGCCCAGAGCCACATCCAGCCTGGCCTTGAATGTCCAACCTGAACCTCCCCTAGCACAACATGAGGCCACTACCTCCTGTCCTGTCACTTTTATGTGAGAGAAGAGGCAGACCCCAACCTCACCACAACCTCCTTTCAGGTCATTGTAGGGAGCAAGGAGGTCTGCCCTGAGCCTCCTCTTCTCCAGACCGGACAATCCCAGTTCCCTCCACCAATTCTCATAAGGCTTGTGCTGCAGATCTTACAGCCAAACTGGGCAAAGAGAGCAGCTGGATACATGGGAGGTGGCTGTTGCTGATCAAGGACTGGCTGGGCATTAGTCAGCTTGTGGTAAGCAACTATGTTGTGCGTCACTTGTTTTGTTTTGCTTTCCTTATTATTAAACTATCTGTATTTCAATGATCCGTATGGGTTCTTTCCAACTCACAGTGTTCTATGATTCTATTTTGGGTAGTCCTGTGTGGAGCCAGGAGTTGGACTCGATCCTTATGAATCTATGATTCCATGATCTCAAACCACAATTTTTGACATTTTTTTATTTTTTTCAATTCTCTCCACCATCCTGCTGACGTGAGCAAGAAGCTGCATGGTGCTGAGATGCCTGCCAGGTCAAACTACAACACACAACCTCTGAAAAATTCAGTGTTCCAAGAAAACAAATCAAGAAGTAATGGTCTTAATGTGAAGCAGGAAATAGTTAGGCAAGACAGCAGGGGAAAAAAAGTAACATGAAAGGTAGTAACGCTCTGGAGTATCTTGCTGGGAACCCAGTGGAGATGCCACCAGAGGAAGACCTTCTGTAAAGAAAAATCCGGGACTGGTAACATGGGTCTGGTTGCATATGGCCCACAGGTCTCTACCAGCTCCAGTAGTCAATGGCCCAAAGTTTCAGATGTCCATGATCCAATGGTTGGTTTTGTGCTGGATGAACTCAACTCAGCTGTGCATCAAGATTACTCCTGAGCTGTGTGAAGTTCACAAGCTAATGCACTAGATAAAAAAAGTGAAAATACAGTTGAAGTTACATTTTTGAGATGAGTAGAAACAGTTAGAAGCTCAAGAGGTCAAAAGGAAAAAAATGCTGACATGAGAAGATAAAATACTGAGATAAAAAGCAGAGATAGGTAAACAGCAACTCAGCAACATCAACATTTGCCTTGTGCCAAGAAAGAGTGCTTAGACAAGCAGCTTCGTCTTATACCTGTCCCTGTTTGCCAGGAAATAATAGCTGTTCACTTGTTGTTTTTTTTTTTCATCTTGTTAGCAGACTATCAGTGCACACTGTAGAGTGTGGATAGAAGTAACCTTGGCAGAGAAAGTTACACTACACGCAGTTCTTGAGGCCAACCCAGGAAGTTCTAGTGGAGTCAATAAATGACTGAACAGCAAGGGAAACCAGTGACAGGTTTGACCATGCCCACAATGTCTCTAATGTCTCTTAGCTGGTGGGAATACACCTTACGGAGGGTGCAGCATCCTTCCTGCGCCTGTGTGTTGGAGCTAGAATGTGCATGTGGGTGTTCTACTCTGCTGGGCAGTTGGACTCTGCCACATTGCTTTCGCACTCCCTCTTGCCAAAAGAACAGAGTGGGGGGAAATAAAATGGAAAAAGGACCATGGATTGAGTTAAGGACAGGAAGATTGCTCATCAGTTAGTGTCACAAGCTAAACAGACTCAGTATAGGGATATTAATGTAATTTATTGCCTATTACTAACAGACTAGAGCAGAGAAAAACTAAAATCAAACTAAATATACCTTCTGCTCATCCATCCTCCTCTGTGTCCTCCCCCTGAATAGCACAGGAGAATGGGATCTGCAATGAGACTACAATGCTTTGTTCTGCTGCTCCTCCATCAACACTCTCTGCCCTTGCTCTATGTGGGTCCCTTCACAATGCTGTCTTTCCTGAACTGAATTCTATGGGCTTCCCACAGGCTACAGTTCTCCCAGAACCACCCCACCATGGCTCCATACAGCAGGACCAACCCTAGCACTGCTCCACATGGGCCTGTGTGTGCAGCAGCTCTCCCAGACCTCCTGCCCCACCGTGGGCTCTTCTCTCCTGGGGCCTAGATTGTGTATTAAAATTCAAAGGATACAAAATGCAGGTGAGAGTATTTTGAAGGAGGCAATTTTCCAATAATTTTACCCGCTGTAATACTGACATGTATTTGCTATTGGGTTGCATGATGATAAGTTACTTGGAAAGTTCTTTCATCACCTATAGTTTCTAGATTATCTTGACTATGATAGTCAAGATATACTTGTCAGGCCATGATGACATTATTCAAACAAAAATCTTAACACCAACACCAAAATCTCAGCACCTTGAAAACAGATTCCCTTTCCAGCAAAGTACTCAATTCCTCTGCTGTGTGCTTTGCCCTAAAAGGAAAGCAGTTGAGCTGCCATCCTAAGGAGGCTGAATACAGCAAAGTCAGAATGAAAGTAGCAGCAGAATTTCTAAATGTGACCAGGCCACCAGCAGAATTGCTGTAGCATGATCACAAACTGGACAGAGTGCTGTTCCAGTATATTTGTTGCTTTTATGGAAATAAAAACACTTCACTGAGCCCCTGGAATCTTTCATTCCCTCTAGCAATCCTGTCAAGCTGCCTTGGATGCCAGACAGGACAGAGATAAAAAGTGAGACTGAGCAGACAAACATCTTTGGGCAAGAAACATATCTAAAGCTTATCTACAAAAGAAAAGTGGAATAGATCCTCCATCCTGTGTCCAAATAATTTCAGAAAACATGTCCAAAGCAAAGACTACACATGCCCAAGCGAAAGTTTCCAATTTTAAGTTAAAGATCTTTACATGCAAGAGGTCATTGCTTGGTACAACAGCAAAGCTAACCTCCTGTGTGGCACTCATTCTATTTTGCATTACTGAAATCAAACATTATTCATATATTGTTGTTTACGTCTGACTACTTCACTGAGAACAATAAGTTTTTCTAATATTTCTTAGGAATAAACTTCTATAAATACCAAACATTCTTGAAATCATAACTTGGATGGAAAAGACACAATTCTTGCTTATTTACAGGACTAAGACAAAATGAGATTCTTTGAAAAGCCATTCAAGATAATTTGCTGACAGAGGATATAGTTTGTAGTGACTTTGTACTAAACAGCCTTGTTAGTTCTTCAATATATATGAATTACTGGAAGTGAATTCCTCACTGATAAAAGAGGGTCGTGACATATTGACAGCATGTAGGAGCAGAGGTTTACCCTTAGTAATTAGTTATATTATTTATTATATCATTTTTTAACAAAACGTTTTGTCTATGGGTTGAACTGAGTTTTCGGAAGAACATTTTTCAAGAGAATTAGCTCACTGAATTTACCACCAGATCTGGCAACAACCTGGAGTTTGCAGTCTCTAAAATTTCTAAATATTTTTGGAAAGAAATCAATTTAAAAGAAAACAAAAAGTTCTGAGCATTTCTTGTGAAAAAAGAAACGTCACAGAACTCCTTTTCTTCTGGAATTAAAAAAAAAACAACAACAATATTTTTTATTATTCAATTATTTATTTTTTTTTTTTTAGAAATGAAGCAGTTGGGTGAACATCCTCAGCTACAGTTCAGAAATTCAGCTCTACTCCTTAGACCACCTATCAACATAGAAAGGGTTCCAAGTGGTAAAATCTTCTCTGGCCCCCAACAGCTACTTACATGGAAATTAGCTTAGAATACATCAGTGATTTGGCTCGTTATTGTAG